TAAAAACTGAGATTATTTTTAAATGCCATTATGGAATTGCAAAATTAGGTCTTATAAATCATTTGTGCTTTTATTTATTTAGCTTTTCCCTCCAAAAAAGTAAATATCAGAGAATTTCTGCATATACCTGTATTTTCAGTGATTGAAATTTTCAAAATATTTCAAAAGCTACAGGGTTTTTGTGCTCCTGTTTCTTAAATTTCCAACCAACTGTGAATAAAGTGCAGCCAAAATTAGAGAACTTATATAAAAACTCAATAACCATTACAGGACCCTGAGGTTGATTTTAAAAAGCAGCTCTACAAAGACTTAAATATTTCTAATAAGTAATTTTCAATATACTGTAATGTTATCCTTTTTTTACATATAACAACATAAAAATGTATTGTTACTTTATTTTGAATTTGCAAATATAAAAAGTATTATAAATTTTGACAACAGCTGTGGTTTTTTTCATAGGTAGCCTATCACAGCACAGCTTATTTTGGCAACATTTATGTGTGCCCCACAGCTAATCCTAAAAAGATTTCTGTTTCTTGGCTTAATAAATTGGATATTTATTTTTTTTATCATGGTACTAGAATAAAATTGATATATGAGTATCAACTTCAAAACAGCTTAACATTGAGAGTCTTTTTAACTGAACTTGTTAAGTTCCATTGAGTCAGTTCCTACCCATAGAGACCTTGTATAGGGTTTTCAAGGAGCAGCTGGTGAGCTTGAACCACCGACCTTGTAGTTCAAACACTTTGTAGTCTGACGCATTAGCCCACAGCGCCACAACTGAACTTACAGGAATAATGTCAATGTCTCACCTCCAAAAGAAACAATTATTAGGACTAACGTAACTGATGTTGTGTTCAAAGTCTCTGGTGACACCACAGAAAACTGGCATCATTAGCCAGTAGAGCCAGCTATTGCCCTGCCTTTCATTTGTATATTAAAAGCCTTGGAAATGAAAGTGAGCAAAATTAATGTAGAAGAACATGTCATCTAAATGAAAAGTCATGGACTTTCTGCTACAGACTCATTTTTGGACACCAACTAAACCCACTGCCTTCAAGTCAGTTCCGACTAATTAGCAACCGTCTATAGGAGTCGAAACTGACTCGACAGCTTTTCACAACAACAATAGGAGTCCTGGTGTGCTGGTGTAGGATAAACACTGGATCACAAGGTCAGCAGTTCAAACTCACCAGCTGTTCTTCAGAAACCCTATACAGGGCCACTATGAGTCAGACCCAATTCGACAGCCCTTAACCACAACATAGGGTTGCCTAAGCTGTAAATCTTTATAGGAGCAGAAAGCCTCGTCTTTCTCCCACAGAGCGGCTAGAGGGTTTGAACATTGCTATTAACAGACCAGTGCTTATCATGCAGTGCCACCAGGGCTCCTGCTAACTTGAAGAAGATGCTAATGCTTCTTTAGCAGATCGGAGATTTTTTAATTCTCATGTGGTTGGAGTTAGTTCTAGGGATGGTCATTGTTAAAAGCATTTTATAAGTTATAAGTTTATCATCAACTTTCTGGGGAAATAGAAATTTAGTACTTAATTTGTTCATTAAACATGAACTACGTGTGATCTTGTTTCTGCATAAAGGGTTTCCTATAAAATAAAGCAAGCGTTACCAAGTAATTAAAAATATTGTTGAAGATTTATATCTGCAATTGGCAAACCAGTCCATGGGCCAAATTCTGCCTCCTGCCTGTTTCTGTATAGTTTGTGAGTCAAGGTCAAAAAGAAGAAATAAGGTTAAAATTGTCAGAAATTCAGATTTCAGAGTTATGGAAAACATTTTATTGATACATTCTCACATCCATTCATCTACTGTTGTCTTTGGCTGCTTTCCCACTACAGCAGCAGAGGAGTTATGACAGAGACTATGTTCCACAAAGCCTGGAACTTTTATATGGCCCCTAGAGGAAAAGTGTAAGGAGCTCTGGTAGCGTAGTGGTTACGAATTGGGCTGCGAACCTTAAGGTCAGCAGTTCGAAACTACCAGCTGTTCCACGGGAGAAAGATGAGGCGTTCTGCTCCCGTAAAGATTTACAGCCTCGGAAACCCTGTACAGGGTCGCTATGGGTTGGAACCGACTCGAAGGCACTTATCAACAAAGAGGAAAAGTGTACCCACCCCTGATTTATATAGCACAGTACATGACAGAAACCACAGTGGTGACAGGGTTCTGCTGCAGGACTGTACCACCTCTATCTTCCACGTGTGTCTCACATACATGTAGAGTTCCCCAAGAACATAGCTGGTGGAAGCCCTGACAGCTTCATTCACCTCCGAAGCCAAGACACTGGACAACTAGTCTGGTCTCCCAGATGGACAGTGGCGGCAGCATCTATATTTCTTCAACCTCCACTGAGGCCAGAAGGAGTTTGCTGTTCCATGCCATTGTATCCGTGAGGGACCTGCATGCAGGTACTAGAAAGGCAGGTACTACTTACATTTTACCTGGAGAGATGGGAGGAAAGTGTGCTGGCTTATTCCTGGTTGGCTTTCAGATTAACACATGTATCTCTCATACCCTGAGATGAGACCAGGAAGCTGCTAAAGAAGTACAAAGGCAAGGTTTATGTACCAAACCCAATTTGACTTCTTGGTTTAATGCAACTATTGATAATATTTTATTTAAAATGAAAGATCTGAGATAATTTCTATCCCACCCAGACAGCAGAATTAAATTGGTATTCTCTCAGAGAAACCCTCTTCTGAGGCTTGACATGACCACTCACCTTTCCCTTTGACTTCACCATCAAGCAGGCATGTTCTCTTGCTCCAGACCAGTGGCCTCCTCCCCACTCTTCCAGAGACCCACGAGACTCATCTTCCCTCCTCCCTGTCAGGCCTGTGTTCACCTGTCTCCTCCTCAGGCAGGCCTTCCTCAACTACTCTATTTAAAAGTAAAAGACCCAGTGCCTGGCTACACTATTGACCATTCTGATCAGGCACATAGATGGACCTGAAAACAGGAGGAGAAAAAGTGGAACAGAATCTCACATTCCTTTTAAAAAAAAAACAACAACAGACATATTGGACTAGTTGAGACTATCACCCTTCAAAACTAACTTCTGAGGTCATCTTGTAGCTAAGTAGCTAATTGGCTCAAAAAAGATACCACCCATACGAACTGTGTTCCTCTAAAAAAATCACCTACAGGTGGTACCTGGCAACCACCGCTGACTACTCTGAGAGAGGGAGCACAATAGGAGGTCCTGGATAGAACAGGAGAAAAATGAGGGACAAAACACAAAATTGTGAAAAAGGCCAAGCTTAATTGTCTTGACGGTGACTGGTAAGACCTCCGAAACTGGCTCTTAACCACCCTTCAGACCTAGAACTGAACTCACCTCTGTGGTTCAACTTTCAGCCTACAAGGCAAACAGATAGACCCGTCAGGCAACCAGTAACACCAGGGAGGTACACACTGCTTAGGACAAAAGACAGACAGTTCAGAAGGCAGGAAGGGATAGGAAAACAGGATTAATAGAAATAGTAACCCAGGGAGCAAGTGGGGAGAGTGCTGCTACAGTTGAGGGCTGCAGTCAACAGCACGAATCAAAACGTGTATCAACTGTTGGATGAAAACCAATTTGCTCAGTAAACTTTCACCCGAATCACAATAAAAACTTAAATATCTTTTCCAAAAACTCGCTTATCTTTTCATTTCATTTTTCCATGAACTTTGAAGCCCGTGTGTGTGTGTGTGTGTGTGTGTGTGTGTGTGTGTGTGTGTGTGTAAACTAGAGAGCCCCAAGAATAGAGTCCAGTGTTCTGCCTGTTAGCATTCAGGAAGTCAAACAGAGGCAAGAAAATAGAGGCAGCAGGTGTAAGGGGAAGGGCTATTTCAGTACATCCCCAAATGACGCTACTCCTGACATCAGGAAGAATGTATCTATGTAAGACTAAGTGGTCAGCAATTACTTTGAAACAAGAATGAGCATGTAAAGGGGCAGGGAAACAAAATTAACGGAAATGAAACAAACAGAATCGAAATCATGAGAATGTTCACTCATTGTGAAGATTATAACCAGTGTCACTATAGAAACAGTTGAATGGAGACTGAAAACACAATAAAGTATTCGTTTTTATAAAAGCAAAAATTCACTGACAACCTCTCCACATACTATCTTGGGGTGATACAAATGTTCGGTATCTTGATTTCAGAGATGGTTTCACGAGTGTTTACATACGTCACACCTGTATGTACGCTTCAAGTAGGCACAGTATATTGTTCTTAAAGATGGACCATAGAGGATTAAATGACAACATGTGTGTGTACGGTCATGTTTCCACATACTGGCTTGCGGTGCCCGTTTGAAAAGTCTTCAGAATATAAAAGAAAATAATAAGCATTGATTTCAGTACTTCATTGATCACAGAATTTCAGCTTACTATTTCTTGAGAGAAGTTTCTCATCACTTAATTCTCAAGTTAATTTTAGAAGATGGAGCAATTTTTAAATCCCTTGCTGTTCATAATTTCATTTGGTTTGCAACTTCTGTGTCTCTGGAGGTATTTTTCTGTTTATAAAAACGGTGTTTTTCAGTAGCTTTGTGGTGTTAACATGTTCAGAGGAAAATGTTTAATCCAGGAAGATAGTTTCTTGGTGATTTTTCTGTATCTGTGATTTAAATCCAGAAAAGATTTGCATAGAGTCATGAAATGGATCCTCTTGCTCCCTGAACATCAGATTGTGTAAATTGAGTGTCTTTCTCGCTTGTCTTTGGTGCGTCATTCCCCTATAGAAATGAGTGGTTCACTGGACCAAACGTGACTTTCTAGCTCTGAAACTTCAGTGCTCTGCAGCTTGGCTTCAAACTGTGACTTTCATGCTCTGTAGTTTCATCACAGAGTGTCCTACCTGAGCCCAGTGAGCTGTGAAGTCAGATGACTTGCGTAATTAAGCCATGATGACTTTTTAAATGTGGTATTGTCTTTCACTGTACAAATAGCAATCCGTCATGCTGACTGCTTGCTTTTCTCCCCCAGGGAACCATCAGCGTTGGAGTAGATGCCACTGACCTTTTTGATCGTTATGAAGAGGAATATGAAGATGTCTCTGGCAGTGGCTTTCCCCAGATTGAAATTAACAAAATGCACATTTCTCAGTCCATCGAGGTAAAGCACACAAACACCTCTGCGTTTAGAGGGCTGAGTTAATGAGGCACAGCCCACCAGCAGCTGGAATGAGAAAGCCTGCTCAGGGCTTCTCATCTTTATTTATGAAAGGATGCAATTAGCAACTTAAAAAAAGTAAGGAAAGAAAGCTGCAGTCACTGCTTGGTTTGTTACTGCTTTCTGACATGTGAGCCAGGAGGAGGGGGGCCGCTTAGCTCCCAGGGCCCACAGATCTCTCCACTTAGAAAGTGCTAATGGGCCAAGAGAAGTAGAAGCCCAAGGTCATAGTGATTTATCTCTGGAGGGGACCACAGCCCTACATATGATTCTAGGAAGTGGCTTTAGTTTTTTAAGCTTCCTCTGCTGTGTACTCTACTTCCTGAACCCCTGTGTCACCAAAATGTCACCTTTCTGCCCATTATTTGGATGTCGTGATGTCAGGCCATTCTACTAAGGGTCATAGTAGGTCTCTGCCTTCTCAGCTCTGTATTTAGCCTCAAGTGTATCGACCTGGAACATGGAGTCCTAACTCGGGGATACTTGCCCCCTGTATCTTGGCACTCCCAGAGTTGGATAAGTCACCATGAGAAGGTCTTCAGTCTGGAGAGGCCCAGATGTCCCACAGCACGGAGACACCTGGCAGTCAACCCCATGTTTCCCTCTGGTTTAAAAGTTTTCCCACACAGCTTTTGCAGAACATGACCTTGGCAGCCACATGCAGTTCACATTAGCAACGTGTGAGGAAAGGAAGGCCGTGTAGGTAATTTGGCTTCCCTGCGCATTCTGAACTGTGGCAGCATCTGCAGTTGGGCCTGTGCTGACAATCCATTCATTCATCAGGCAGCTCCCATTGGAGCTTATCACCAGCAGGTGTTATTTTCCAGGCACCCCTGACAGCCACAGACACAGCCATTCTCTCTGGAAACCTCTCAACCCAGAACGGAAACGGAGGGGGCTCCATTAACTTTGCGCTCCGACGAGTCACTTCTGCGAAGGGCTGGGGAGAGGTAAGCATGCCTCCTGACAGGGCCATATTGTTGTCCCTTTTAAAACCTGATTCTAAGCACTTACCTGCTAAGAGCTAGCCTGCGAAAATGACCTGCGGACAGGCACACCAATGTGCAATAGGATTCTGAGGACCAAACTTTTGTAAGCTAACTGACCCCAATAAAAAATAGGCTTCATATCTGAGAAGCCCTCTCGGCCTGCCAAACAGTTGCAGGTTAAGATAGAAACACAAGCTTTCCCTTGAGTCTTAACTTCCTGAAAGCCATTCTTGAGAAGTGCAGCATCTTTGTTCCCTTTAAGCAAAAGTCTGGAGTCTAAGCCCTTTCCCTGTACAACCTCAAGGCCGGACAGTTTCTGCTCTCTGGTCCAGTGACTAGTGGTCATTCAGTTCTGCTGAACAAATTGAGCTGTATCAAATTAACATTGAAGTGGTGCCTTGAAAGTCACCCAGCCTAGTAAGCTAGCTGCAGACTCCAAGGCTGTGTACGTGCAGAACTGCTGATGGCCCTCAGCACCAGACCTAGGAGAGCCATCTCCAGTCACCTGAGAGACCTGCAGCCAAGGACGCTAAGCAGAATGAAAATGCAGAGAAACCACAGAGAGGGTGGAGCACACCTGACTGAAGTGCCCTCTGATGATGGCAACTCTTCCCCCAGGCAGGCCCTGGGTACCAAAGCCTTCTCTCCTGGCTTGAGCCCTGAGTGGGGTTCCTTTCTGAAACCTGGGCCGCCTCACATCTGTGGAAACAGGCAGCTTCTTTGGACAAAGGATAAGATGAGATAGGAAGAATCTTATCCCAGCAAGTCTGACAAGGTCAATGGCACTGAATTAAACCAAGCAATTGTTCCCAGAGGCACAGAACTGGGACTTGGGTAACTGCTGTGAGACAAAAACACCATTATTAACTTCCTCTTTTTCTTTTTCCAAACAGCTAGAATTTGGAGCTGGCGATCTTCAAGGGCCTTTATTTGGTCTAAAGCTCTTCCGTAATCTCACACCAAGATGGTAAGTATAAGAGGGAGAATCACATTGATGGTCATTTGACTTACAAGTGTGGGGGCCCATGTATTATGTTTCTCAAGATAGTCCTATTTATGGACTCTGCCCTGGGCACACTGAGGGCAGACCTGTAGCCAACAGGAAGCCAGAGTCAAAGGAAGGTGTTCGTGAGAGGAAAGGGGATTTGGGGTCCTGGACCCACCCTGGGTCAAGCACAACCTTTGTGAGCCCCCATTTCCTCATTGTGGGGTGACCCTCCTGTGTGCTTGTCTCACTCACAGTGGCCAGGACCACAAGACAGGCAGAGGAAAAAATGCCGTTGTGGAAAAGTTGGTCAGCGGTGCTCACCAACTTATAAATCATTTCTTTGTCCCAGAGGGTGTGACCTTCTGTTTTAAGTTCTTGAAAAGGGGCCTTTGTCCAACTGTGTGATCTGATGTGCTGGGACCTTGAACCCAGCAGGCTCTGTGTCCGTCCACCTTGACTCCCTCAGTGAGGTCACACTCCCAGAGCTGTGCACCACTGTTCCTTCTAGAACACGGAGGCGTCCTTATTCCATTTACGGTGGTCTATGTGAGCACAGATGAAAGAATTGGGTAGGAGGTCAAATAAAGCCTTTCTTCCAGGGAACAAAAATGTTGGTGACCGAGTCCTAGAATAGGGTATATGTTTGAAAAGAATGGCTTCCCTTCCAGTTGAACAAGCACCTGAGTGTCTGCTAGGTCCTGCAGGGTGGAGCAGACCTACCTCTGTCCTTCAGGCCTGTAGGTCTGTCCGTACAGCATGGGGTGGGGAGCAGAGGCCAGTCCATAGTGGGGGGTGAGTGACTACTGTTAGAAAAAGAACATAATAGGCTCTTTGGGGAGGCTCCTGAAGGATAGGTGAAGACCAGGCAGAGGTCACAAGACAGACAGGTGCACTGGACATCCCTGGTTGGTAATCACCCGGATGCTTGCTGGAATACAACCTCACAGACCTCGCTCTAGGATTCTGGATCCAGTGAGTCCAGGAAAGGCAGGGGCAGGGATTTACAGTATTTTTAAATCTGGTCTGCTTAGACTTGTCACCTCTGTCGCTGACAGACCAGGGCACCCTGCTATAACTGAATCAGGCCTGAGTGAGAGATCTGAGGTCCAGAGTTATCTTACAAGCACCCCAAGTGACTGATAGATCAGCAGGTTTAGGAGACACTTTGTTCTTATTGCGCCACATAAAGTGTCTGTCTGTTCATGGTCAACAGGGGCCTCAGGCTGGCCCTCAGCTTTTACAGGTTTAGGGGCTGAACTTGTCATAGTACAGGACCAGACTACAGAAAGCAGATTTAGAAACAAGGGGAATGATTTATAAACAAGAATGCTCATTCGTTACCTTACTGTAGACGAACTAGTCTGGTATTCAGGGCACCATAGGTCACAGTCAAGTGATGTGCGACCAAATGGGTGATCAGAGTTAGGTTGGTGAGTACAGGATCAGCTCCAGGGAAGGCAGTCAGCCCCCCCAGTGGGATGGTCCATTCAGGCAGCATGACCATGGGACCTGGTCTGGGGACAGCCATGCTGATCTGCCCACCCTGTAATGTGATCTTGAAATTCAAGGGGTGATTTTAATCTCTCTGTCTGCCTGCCTCCCCTGGCCCCAGTTGTGCCTTAAGCAGAGACAGGTGGCAGTTATAAAATAAATGAGAGAAACTGTTGGCTTGGAGGCCCTGTGGAGAGAAACCCAGAAAACTACCTTCCAAGTTGATTCCGACTCTTAGTGACGCCTGTTTTATTACTAATATTTAGTATTTTCTATCCAGCACTGTCAAAGAGACCGTGGATGGACCGTCCTGTCCCTGCAGCTGATCCCATACTCACAGTGACCCTTTTTATAGGGTTTCCAAGTCTGTAAATCTCTACACCTCGTCTTTCTTCCACAGAGCGCCTGGTGGGTTTGAACCACCAACCAACTCTGTGGTTAGCAGTGCAGTGCTTATCTTACAGCACCACCAGGGATCCTGTGGAGAGTTGTTGTGTTGTTATTAAGTACCGTGGAGTCGTTTGCAACTCCTAGTGACCCTGCACAGAGTTTCCTAGGCTGTAAATCTTTACTGGAGCAGAATGCCTCCTCCTTCTCCCGCGGAACTGCTCATAGTTTTGAACTGCTGACCTTGAGGTTGGCAGCCCTACTCGTAACCACTATGCTACCAGAGCTCCTTTGTGGAGAATGAAGGGATGCTTAATTCATTTGTGTGGGAAGCTTCTAGAAGTCTGTGAGTTACGGCATGATATTGAACAAAGTTGTCATTTTTATTTTTATTTTTATTTATTTATTAATGGCATCATCTCCAGAGCCTAGAAAAACGGGAAAGAGGCAGAACTGCTTGACACTGAGTTCGTTAGTCTGTGAAAGGAGTCCTGTTGTGGTACTAGGGGATTAATGCACTAGACTGTAAAATCAGTTTGAACCACAAGGTCAGCGGTTCAGGCTCACCAGTTGCTCCTCGGAAACCCTATACGGGGTTGTTGTGGGTGGAATGGACTTGACAGCACTTAACAACAACAGGCTATGAAAAGCTTGTTCAACCTGCAGTACCATACATAAGTGGAGTAGGGTGAAGGACAGTGAAATGAAGTACATCTTTTCCACCAGAAGATGGTGCTGCCCACCCTTGCAAACAAACTTCAGAGGCCTTGGCAGGGGAACTGGTTGGTCTCCTAGCTTTTCAAGTTGCTTAGTCTAGCGTACGCAATGTACTATTGGCAGGTTTGGGGGTTTTTTTGTTTGTTGTTTTTAAAAGATGTACGGAACTATCAGTCTCCACCCAGAAATGCTGAGTCTAGGGTGAGCTGTCTCGCATGTGGTTCTCAAATTGTGCTACACATTAGAATCCCTTCCTAAACATTAAAAATGCAAGTCCATAGGACACACAGCCCCTCCCCAGACTAAATCACAATGCCTGGAGGTGGGGAAGCCAGTGGGCAGTATTTTTTAGATTACCCGAGTGATTTGAATGTGAGGAAAAGTTTGGGAATCAGTGCCTTGGACCACTTTCTTTTGGGGGGTGGGGCAGTGGGAACTACTCTTTGGGGTAGGGCATTTTTCTGTTGGCTCAGGAAACTGACATTCAGGTGCCTCTGGTTGTAGCTAAAGTGAGCTGGGGAGGGGGTGTAGAATGTCAATTCGAAGGGAAGTGTCCTGGCAGATTCGGCGGTGGATGGAGGCTGGCTGGACTTCTGCCTTTGCTTGTCTGGGGCTGGCCCGAGTTTCAGGGAAGTGACAGCAAGCCGGTCCTGAGCCAGGCAGGCTGAGAAGAAAGTCGGCAGAGAACAGCTGAGAGACAGGTGGCATCTAAGCCCCTTGTCTGTGTGCCTCTCTAGCTTCGTCACGACAAACTGTGCCCTGCAGTTCTCGTCCCGAGGCATCCGACCTGGCCTCACCACCGTCCTGGCAAGGAACCTGGATAAGAACACGGTGGGTTACCTGCAGTGGCGGTGGGGTATCCAGTCCGCCATGAACACGAGCATCGTCCGAGACACCAAGACTAGCCACTTTACTGTGGCTCTGCAGGTGAGGATGGTGCTCCCAGGAGGGTCCCCTGGGCTGTGGACAGATTCTGAGAGTTTGTGCCTTCACTGAATGTTAGACATGTTTAGTCTCGGACTCCAGTGGTGGCTGTATTCAGACACCCCTGAAGCTATGTGCGATGGCCACACTAGGAGAAGCCCAGGAATGAGGGTAGGAACCTGGTTGGTGAAGGGAATCCCAAAGCAGAGTCATGCTCTTAGATGCCCAGGAAGCCAGATGGGTGTGGTCAATGAGTGAGGAGCTGGGCAAGCTAGTAAATGGCAGTCCAGCTTACTCAGAGGGACAGCTGCTCTCAGCCATGCGCACTGCTGCCAGTTAGGAATTCCTCTGAAGTGAAGCCACAGCCGAGGGGGATGGGGGCAGCTGCCCAAGTCCCACAGGGAAGCTGGAGTGTGGGTTTTATGGTTGTTGTTGCAGGTTGATTTTAATGAACAAAACTTTCTGTATAAAAACATTTAAGCTTTAACAACACACACAACTTCAAATCTAATACAGAACCTGAGACATTATTTTATTTCATGTCAACTTCTCTAAAGGGACATGTGAATAAAACATTAACATGAGAGAAAAGAAGACCCATGGCCTTACACATAGAACCATTTTTAAGGAAGAACAAAAGCATAAAGTTAAAGTGTGAATGGGATGGGAATGAATTATTTTACTGTGTGAGTAAAATAACTCCATTACGAGAGGCCACAGGAAGGGGGAAGCAGCAGGGATTAGCTTAACTCATTAATTATCTGAAAATGTCATTCAAGGACAGAGAATTTGGGGAATTACAGAAAATCCATATTTTTTTAACACCTCAAATTCTGCAAATCTGATAACTTCTGATGCTTCAAAAGCATCTGTGTTTTCATTGTGTGTGTGTGTGTGTGTGTGTAGGTCTTGATTGTTTCATTATTACTTAGCTGTGGTTGATTTCTCAGTTTTCCTGTCGTGTCCGGTTTTAGTCACCAGAAGAGCCACAGCAATAAAGCATGACAAGCACAGGCTGTGCAGGGTGGTAGTACTGTGGGTGGCTAAGAGCCATACTACCTGGGTTTGGATCTCAGCATCACCACCTGCTAGCAGCATACTTAGCCACTCAGGTGTCCCAGTTCCTTCTTCTTCAGCACTCCCTGCTTCAGAGAGGTTAAGACGATTCAACAAGGTAATCCATTTAAAGAAATTATCGCATTGCCTGGCAAAAGTAAGTGCTCTGTTAATGTTGGCTAAGATTACTGTTGGAGTCCTGGTGTGGTGATGTGGGTTAATGCGCCAGACTGCAAGGTCGGCGGTTCAAGCTCACCAGCTGCTCCTCGGAAACCCTATACAGGGTCTCTGTGGGTCGGAATCAACTCGAAGGTACTACAGCAGCAGCAGCAAGATTATTATTATTAGTAATAATAAACCAAAACCAAACCCATTGCCTTCAAGTCGTTTCTGACTCATAGAGATCCTACGCAACAGAATAGAACTGCACGACAGGGTTTCCAGGCCCCTCACCTTTATGAAAGTAGATTGCTGCATCGTTCTCCCACAGAGCAGCAGGTGGGTTCGATTTGCTGACTGTTCAGTTAGCAGTCGAGCACTATAACCACTGTGACACCAGAGCTCTTAGTAGTATTACAGGGAAACAAAAAGAAAATTTTAATCCATCTTTATTTCAGTTTCTTTACTGAGGTCTTCAGGGGCCACTGTGGCAAAAAGAGGAGATGCCTGTATGTTGGTACAAACGAGATTGAGGACTAGTTTTAGGCTTATAGATGTTCATTTTTATATTAAAAGACAGTACCATGGCTCCATATCACAGCATCTTCCCATGAACACCACACAGTTGCCACTTTCATCAGGTCCTGCATATACTGTACATGATGTGGCGTTTCTATTGATACGCAGCAACAATAGGACCCTTACAGTGTAACTACGAAATAGCTGAACTGCATGGTGAACAGTAATCTGCTGCCACACTGTTTACACTCTGTCTTTTCAGCTTGGAATACCGCACTCTTTTGCACTCATCAGCTACCAGCACAAGTTCCAGGATGATGACCAGACTCGAGTGAAAGGCTCTCTCAAGTAAGTGCGTGGACATGCCCTGGGCTCGTGTGGGGCTTTCTGCACATGGAGCCAGTCAATGTAAGGTCTGTGTGATCTCTTCCTGTGGGTAACATGTCGGGAGTGCCTCCTACTGCCTGGGGAGCTCGGAGACTAATGGGAGCCATGCCCACTACTGTCCCTCCTGACTGCTATGTCCACTGACTGCAGGCATCCGTCAGGAATCTACTCCTCCCTGTGGGTGGCGGGAAGGGTGGCAGTAGAGATGCTGAGGAGCCTCCCTGGTCTGACTGCTGGTCTGCTCTCGCAGGGCAGGCTTCTTTGGAGTAGTGGTGGAGTACGGAGCAGAGAGGAAGATCTCCAGGCACAGCGTCTTAGGTGCTGCTGTTAGCGTTGGTGTCCCACAGGGTGTTTCTCTCAAAGTCAAGTAAGTTGTACACGGATCTTTTTGACTAAAGAGTAGCTGGCCACTTCTAACTCAGCAGGGATTGGCCTAAGTGAAGGCTGAAACAGTCTTTACTTTATAATGTTATTCTTTTAAGCCATCGTTCCTTCTGTCTTTGATATGCAAGTAAATGTCAAGGAGTGTAGAAACCCAGCATTTCATCACATCACAGGAATTTGCAGCATATTCTGGCAAGTCTGCCCTCCCCCACCCCACCCCACCCCCAACATGCTGTCTGTCTTCCCTATCATCACTGTGGACAGACCTACAGCCAACCTTTCCACTAACGTCCGAGGTGCTCACTTCCTCTCGTGTTCATATATTCCACGTTGGAGATTGTTTCCAACAACACATTGACATATGCTCACCTCCTAGCTACTGTCCACTCATCTTTCCTGTAGAACTTCATTCTTCAAGAGCTGTCTGTATTTTCTCCCTCCTGTTTCTCTTGTCTACTGCTCTCTATACCTACTCAAGTCCGTTTTCTCCTTAAACACTGCTTTTCTCAGAGTTCTTTGAGGCCCACTCCCTCACATTGCAGATCCAGTCTGTAAATGCTTAGTCTCCATCTTGCTGGATCTCCACAGAATTTGAATCTCTACAATTCAAATGGCTGACCATTTCTTCAGATTTCAAGACAGTGCTCTTTTGATTCTGGCTTTATATGCCAGGCTGGTTGTTCCTTAACCATAACCATTCGGGTATTTAAATAAAGGCATGCTGCAGAGTTCAGCCTTTCTGTTTCCAGCTTCCCGATTTCAGTACCCCCGTACACAAAGAAGATCTAGCTGGGCTTCCAACTTCCTTTCCAAACCGCTATTTGATAGGTCTCTAATTACATCTCAAACATCACAATTCAGATAGACCTCTTGATCTCCTCTCAGACACACAACTCTTTCTCCACCTCCATCCTTCTCTGTCAAGAAACCCCGACCCACCACATCTGGTAGAGCTAAGAATCATCTCAGCTCTGTTCTGTCAGTGGATTCTGAATCTGACCTTTTCTCATGGCCTCCCTGCTGCCTTGTCTGAATTACTGCAGTATGCTTCTAACTGATCTGTACTCTTTGGCTCTATCTCTGCACCCCCCTTTGTAAATCTGTTCTCTACACAGGCAGAATCATCTTGTTAAAGTCTGAGCTAGCTTATGTCACTTTCATGGTGTAGAATCTAGCTGTCCTTCTGACCTCATCTTCCTCTGTCTGCCCCATGCTTTCTCTATTCCTGCCATATTGAAAAATTCCTTCCCTCAATCACTTACATGGCTTGTTCCTTCACTTTCCTAAAATGCCCTATTAAATTTTAAAACACAACTGTCATCAAGTCTTTTCCAACTCATAGCGACCCTGTTGGACACTAGAACTGCTCCATAAGGTTTCCGAGATTGTCAGTCTTGACTGATGCAGACTGCCTCATCTTTCTCCCACAGAGCCGCTGGTGGGTTGGAACTGCCAACCTTTTGGTTAGCATTAGCAGTCCACTGCACCACCAGGAAGGGCTCTCTGATTACCCTGTTGCTGTTAGGTGCCCTCGAATCGGCTCCAACTCATAGCAACGCCCTGCACTGCGGAACGGAACACTGCCTGGCCCCATGCCATTCTCACAGTTAAGTTGGGTCCACTGTTGCAGTCATTGTGTCTGTTACCCCATAGAACATTCTGTTAGCCCTTCACCGCACTTCAGGCAGTCTGTTTCTGTTTACCTTGTCTGTTTTTCTCTGTTGCACCCATTTTATCTAACAAGCCAGTCTCCCCATCAAAATAAGTTCATTGATGATAGGGGCTTTGTTCCATTCTCCATTGTACTCCCAGAGCCTAGGACACAGCCTGGCAAAAGAGTGAGTGAGTGTGTGAGTGACTGGGCGGCAGTGCAGGTTACCAAGATTGCAACTGACATCTACCGTCTCCACTCATTTAAGATTTGGGGACAGTTGAGAGTTAATATGAGAGGGCTTCAAAAGTTCGTGGAAAGCTTCCATTATCTTTTAGTTCCCTTTCCACAAACTTTTTTTCCCTTATAATTTATGTTTATAAGGGATGTTAATCTCTATCTTTTTTTATTATGTATCTGTCAGGTTATCGGTGAGAGTTATGTCAGCCTGTTAAAATCAGCTGGGAAGTGCTCCTTCTTTGGTTTTCTGAAAGAAATTTGTATAACGTCAGTATTGGGTCTTCCTTATGATTGATAGAATTCACCTGTGAGATCATGAGAGCCTGGACTTTCTTTATAGGAAGGTTCTTGATAATGAAATCAATATAACAAATTAAGAGCTTTTCTGGTTTTCTGTCATTTTACCACTTTTTCAAGGAATTTGCTCATTTCATCTAAGTGCCAAATTTGTTAGCATATATGCTTATCCTTTTAATGTTTATACATATGATACCTCTTTTCATCCCTGATATTGGTAAATTATATGCTTTCTCTTAGTCAGTCTAGCTAGGGTACTTATCTTTTCAAAGAACCAATTTTTGGATTTGTTAATTTTCTCTCATCTGTTTACTATTTCATTAATTTGGTATCTTCATTATTTCCTTCCTTCTACTTTATTTTGGTTGTACTTTCCTCTTTTCTAGCTTCTAAAGGTTGAACCTTTCTGATTTGAGACCATTTGTTTCTAATGTAAGCATTTAAGACTACAGATGTCATGTTAAGCATTGCTTTACTAAATCCCACAAATTTTGATGTGGTGTATTATTTTCATTACTTAGTTCTGTTGATTCAATCTAATTCCATTTTGTCAGAGAAGGTACTCTTCTAGTCTTTGAAAATATATTTAGACTTATTTTATGGTCCAGTATATAAGGGAGCTTTAAAAAGTTCATGGCAAAATTCCATTGTCTTTTCATTCCATTTTTCCATGAACTTTTTGAAGCCTCCTTGTATAATCTATGGTGTCTCAGTTCTCTAGAACTGCTATCCCAGAAATACCATAAGTAGATGCTTTAACAACCAGAAATGTATACTGTCACAGTTTAGAAGGCTAGAAGTCCAAATCCAGCTCTAGGGGAAGGCCTCTCTTTCTGTTGGCTCTGAGGAAGGTCCTTGTCTCTTTCAACCCAACATGTCTCGGTGATCTCTGTGGGTTTGACATCAGTCTCCTCCTGGATACAAAAGCTTCACAAGGCAGGGACCCCTGGGTCCAAAGGAGCACACCACTCCTTGGTGGTCCCTCTTTCTTTGTTCATTTCATTTTCCTTAATATCTCTCATAAAGTTTAAAGTGTTGGGTGCCACACCCCTGGGAATCTCCCCTGGGATCAAGGTTGTACTTGTCCTTTAATTTATGTAAATTTGTCCTCACTTTGAAAGGATGGAACCCCAACCCCTACCTAAAGCAAATTCTTTGTCACCAACCCCTCCCTATAGGACAGAGTAGAACTTCTAGTTGATCTAGGGGACTGACTTGCCTGTATTCTGCAGTTATTGAGTATGGTGCTCTGTAAATATCAACTAGTGGTGGTAGTGGTGGTGGTTTTGTATTGTGGAGTCAGTTCCAACTCATAGCGAACCTATATAGGGTTTCCAAGGCTATAAATCTTTATGGGAGCAGAAAGCCTCACCTTTCTCCCACAGAACAGCTCATAGTTTTGAATTGCTGACCTTGAGGTTAGCAGCCCTACTTGTAACCACTGTGCTACCGGAGCTACTTAAATATCAACTAGGTCCAGGTGATTGACAACATTCAGGTCTTCTATGATTTTATTGGTTTTCAGTTGCTCAGGGAGGAATGCTAAAATCTCCAACTATAATTGTGGTCTTCTCCGTTTTCTCCCTTTGTCAAACTGAGCTTCATAAATTTTAAACCTGTATTAAACACAAAAGAAGCTCTGGTAACCTCAAGGTCAGTAGTTTGAAACTATCAGCTATTCCTCAAGAGAAAGATGAAACTTTCTGCTCCAGTAAAGATTTACAGCCTCGAAAACTCTTTGCAGGGTCCCTGTGAATCGGAAGGGACTTCACAGCACATAACCACCACCACCATTAAACACCTATGTATTTTAAATTTGTGTCCAGTTTCCTGATGAGTTGACCCTTTTATCATTATGAAATGGCCTTTTCTCTCTGGTAATAATTGTCTTGAAGTCTTATTTATCTGATCCTACTGTAGCTACTCTCTTATGGAGCCCTGGTAACATAGTGGGTTGTGAGCAGTTCGAATCTACCAATCACTCCACAGGAAAAGAAAAAGATCCACAGCTTTGGAAACCATAAACATAGTCCCTGTGAGTCAGAACCGACTCCACGCCACACAAACACCACTACCACCACTCTAACCACTTCAGGCTTAATAATTGTATAGTTTATCTTTCTGTATTCATTTACATTCATTCCGTCTCTGCTTATTGCAGGAGAAAGATGCGGCTTTCTATGCCTGCAAAGATTTACAGCCTCAGAAACCTTATACACAGGATCACTATGAGTCAGTTCGCCTCAGTGGCACTTAACATCTCTGTTTATATTTATGGTTTATCTCTCAAAGACAGCATGTGTAGTTGCATCTTGCTTTTCCATTCTTACAAATCTATTTACAATCTTGGCTTTTTAATTGGAGTCTTTAGTCCATTAATATCCAATGTAATTGATAAAACTGAATTTAGGCCTGTTGTTTTTAAATTCCATATTATTAATATATGTTAACTTTTTTAGTTATATCTCTGCCTTTTACAAGGGGGCTTCAAAAAGTACACAAAAAATGGAATTAAAAGATAATGAAAATTTCTAACAAACTTTTAGAAAGCCCCTCTGATTTTATAGTGATGGCTCTAGTGATTACAATGTACATTCTTACCTTTATATAGTCTACTGAAGAATTAAGATTGCATTGCTACCACGTGTAAACTGAAAGCAGCTCCAAAATGTATGGGGCCGCTTGCCACCCTCCTTTATGGAGCCCTGGTATGGTGCTATTGGATAAGCATTGAACTTCTAACCCACCAACTGCTCCTTGGAACCCCCTATGCAGGGTTGCTGTGAGTCGGAACCAACTTGACAGGACCTAACAACAACAAACAATAACATCATTTATGATACAGTTGTCACATGTATATATTACAATCTCCAAGCTGTTAAAATTTTGGCTTTAAATAGTCACAAAGACATTAAGAACAGGGAAAGTCTTATCATTTCTAGTGTTCTTCATTCCTAAAAATTGAATTTGCATCTGGTGTCATTTTGTTTGGCCCAGAGAACTTTGTTTAGCTTTCCTTACAGTATCAATCTACTCCTAGTGAATTTTTAGTATTCTTTAACCAATTATTGTGCCTTTACTTTGCATTTGTTGTTGTTGTTAAGTGTCATCGAGTTGGTTCCGACTCATAGCGACCCAGTATAGGATTTCTGAGGACCAGCTGGTGAATTTGAACTGCCAACCTTGAGGTTGGTTCAAACCGACCTTGTGGTGCAGTGCATTATCCCACAGCACCACACCAGGACTCCATACTTTGCATTTAGAGTTCATTAGTTTATTTTATTCATATCATTTTCTTTTTACTTATATATTATATTGACCTAAAACAGTTTGGACCTCTGGTATGGCATTGTAGGATAATAAGCATTGGAGTGATAACCAAAAGATTGGCAGTTGGAAACCCTACACCAGGGTCTCTATGAGTCAGAACTTAACAACAGCAAAGTCAGATTTATGGAGGCATGATTTATACAAAGTAAAATTCATGCTTTTTAGTTCTATGAGTTTTGACAGTCACATATAAGGAGACTTCCAAGTTTGTGGAAAAATTCCATTACCTTTTCATTCCTCTAGTCTATGAACTTTCACATCACCAAAATCAAGATTATCTCCTTCATTCCAAAAAAGTTCCCCTGTAGCTCTTCCCCCCCCACCCCCCACCCCCCAGCCCACAAGACCTTGGCAACTAATGATCTGTTTTCTTTTGTTGTTGGTTTTTTTCTTTTTTCCAGAATGCCCTATAAATAAATGGACCCATGTAATCTGTAACCTTTTGAATCTGGCTTCTTTAACTAAGCGTAATGCATTTGCGATTCATCCATATTGTTGCTTGAATCAATAGTGTGTTCCTTTTTATTGCTAAGTAGTGTTCCATTGTACAGATATACCACAATTTGTGTATTTGTTTACCAGTTAAAGGACATTTCATTGTTTCCAGTTTTTGGTGGTTACAAATAATCGCCATATAAACATTCACATACAGGTTTTATATGAACATAAGTTTTTATTTCTCTTAGGAAAATACCTAGGAGTGGAATTACTGGGTCATATGGTAAGTGTATGTTCAACTTGTTCAAAACTACCCAGCTTTTTCCAGTAGTTGTTTAATTTTACCTTTCTGCCAGCAGCTTATGAGAATGCTTTTTCCTCCATATCTTCAGGAACTTAGTATGTTTTTTGTTTTGTTATGTTTTTGTTTTATGAACTATTTTCATAGGTACATAGGTGTTTTTCATTGTGGTCTTGATTTGCATTTCCTTAACATCTAGAGACGCTGTACATATTCTCATATGCTCATCTGCCGTCATTATCTTCTTGAGTGATGCGTCTATTCATATCTGTTACCTATTTTATTAGGAGTTTGTTTGACGTCTTAGTTTTGACTGTTCTCTATAAACTCTGGAGTTGCTTAATTCTGGAAGGATATTTTCACTGGATGTGCAATCCAGGGTTACCGGGTTGTTTTTCTCTTAGCTCTCTCGTGATGTTGCTCTGCTGCTGTCTGGCCTTCATTATTTCTGATGAGTCAGGGGTCCCTTGAATCATTCTCCTGTATGTAATATGTCTTTGCGTTCCCTGACTGTTCAAGATGGTCTATTTTTGCTTTGCAACAGTTTGATTATAATGCACTGAGATCCAGTTTTCATTATATTCTAAAGCTTTCTGTATCTGTAAATTATGCCCTACATCTAATTTGTAATTTTTAAACTATAAATTCTTCAGATCGTTTTTTTCTGCCCCATTCTCTCTCCTCTTTGAGTCATTCATGAACTGTATGTCACACCTTTTGATACTGTCCCACAGGATTATGAGACTCTGTCCATTTGTCATCAGCCCTTTTTCTCTTTATTTTTCCTATTAGACCATTGCCCTTGATCTAGCTTCAAGTTCATTCATTCTTCCCACGTCTCAGTCTAATCTTAACTCATCCAATAACTTTCATTTCAGATACTGTTGTTCAGTTCTAGAATTTCTATTTGATTCTAGTTATAGTTTTAAGTTTCTCAACTGAGACGTCACATGTTTTAATTCATTACAAGTTGTTTTCCTTTCCTTAGTTGTAATAGATGGTTTAAAATCCATATCAGCCACTTCCAACATCTGGGTCATCTTGGGGTCAGTCAGTCTCTGATTATCTGTTTCTCCTTAGTATGAGCCGCCATGGCTTGTGTTTCCTTGTATATAAGATAGTTTTGGATCTTATTTTGTGTATTGCAAAGACTAGTCTATTAAATTTCTCCAAAGAGTATTGGTTTTTCATTTTAGAAAGTGGAACTCTTAACTGCAAACTCTGACTCCCCTGTGAGCCTTACCTCAGCTCCTTAAGAGATCAGGGATCCACTAGCAATCTGGGACACATTTATACATGGAATTTCTAGCTTCCCATCTCTGGTTCTCTTTTCTGGGGACCCCACACACATTCCAGCTGCTTTGGTTATCCCAAACTCTGAGCTCTGGTTCTTCAGTCTAGTAGAACTGCAGGGTTCTCTCCAAGTTGTAGCCATCTCATACAGTACCTACTGGGACTTGTCTTCAGGCTTAAAGGCAGTAAAAAACCCAACAACAAAACTAAATGGGAAGCTCACCAGTGCCGTTCCATTCTTTGAAGTTCCAACCTTTCTTTAGCACTGGCCTGGTGTTAGTCATTACCTAATACCTCTAAGTGTGGTCAGGAGTATACTGCTATCTGTCATGTGACTGGTCCAGCAGGAGCTACTAAGCTCCTTGTTAAGTGCCATCTAGTCAGTTCCAACTCATAGCAACCTTATATAGGGTTTCCAAGGAGCGGCTGGTGAGCTTGAACCACCAACCTTGAAGTTCAAACCTTAAAGTCCAGTGCTTATCCTACAGCGCCACACCGGGACTTCTTTACAGGACCTCCTTAATTTGCTAACCTTTAAAGTCTCTATACAACTAATAGATTGAGGGCTGAGGTGTGACTAGGATTAGGACACCTGAGGGGTGGGGGTGCCACTTCTGTCCTCAAGACCAGTGGTTAACACAGGTATGCAACATTGCTACCTGGGCATGCTTTAGCTCTGTTGTTTTTTGCCCTCAAAGTCAGCAGTTAGTGGGACCGTACTTCAGTCACATGTCAACCCCAACAGCTCAACTTGGGAATTGAGAAAACCAGCAAAGTGCAGTCAGTTGTGAAATAAGCAGAGTTCTGGAGGTCCCCTAGGTTCTCTGTATCTGAGAAGTTAGTCCTCGTCTGACTGAGACACTACATTGCTCATTCCTGAAAACTTGGCTCATCTTGTTTTTACTTTTCAGATTGAATCGAGCCAGTCAGACCTACTTCTTCCCGATCCACCTGACAGATCAGCTTCTCCCCAGTGCTGTATTCTACGCCACCGTGGGGCCTCTGGTGGTCTATTTCGCTATGCACCGTCTGATCATCAAACCATATCTCAGGGCTCAGAAAGAGAAGTAAGTTTCAAGTATGTCTGGGAGGATCACTCAACAGTTCTGCCTCAATTTCCTCTTGTAGAAAAAGGAACTAATAAGAGAACTGTCCCACAAGGTTGTTGTCAGGAGAATTAGATTAATTAATGCAAATAAGTGCTTGGCATGCTGTTTATACCATAAATGCTTAGTAAAATTATTTATTGTCATTAATAATGGTACTGTTTGCTACTTGTTCATAATCTTTATACTTTCAAGTAGATTTTTAAAATGATGAGATTTACCATTATATCACGAGAGATTAAGAAGTCTTCTTTTATCTTATTCTAATGATTTTTTCCCTGGCACTGAATTCAAAAAGGAATGGGTTCTAGGTTCTTATATAAGGGACAGGCATTAACTTTTGTCTTAAAGCTGTTGAAATGTAAATAATTTGGCAGTTTCTCATAGATAAAACCACTGGGGCATGACATTGGATTTAAATTCTTAGTGATGGCACCTCTATAGAAAATTGAGCAGTGGTTTAGATTTCTTTATAATGAGTTAATTTGATAAATCATTGCACTTAGAGAATCTAGGAGAATGGAATACTTCTCTCCAGAGCCCTTCTACCCTTGACTCACCAGGAGGCTTGAAGCCTAGAGCAAGCATGTAAATAAATACATGTCAAGTGCTACAGGTGCATGCGGACACAGCCCTGTGCTTTGCTAAAGGAGAATCTCTTCATATATCTAAAGTGGTATTAATTGTTCCCACCAAACATGTATGATAATCCTAGAAGGTTGGTGGAGCCTCCTGTGAGTCTTCTCTACTCAGACCCAAGCCAGGTGGAGTGTATTTTCCAGAAAGAACAGTGGGCTTCAGGAGACACAGGGGTAGAGCTATCTAGGGATAAAATGCAGCTATGCAGGCCTGTGACTAACAGATTTGCTGGAGCTTGTCTTGGAAATATTTGTGAAAGCTCTAGAACTAGAAACCCTGTCAGATCACAGACTGTTTGCTGGGCTCGGGGCCAGTGAGGGGGCTCTGTTGACTCACTGCTGTGTAACACCCGCTAATGTGTGGCTTGTGTTTCCCTCACACAAGGGAGTTGGAAAAGCAGAGGGAAAGCACAGCCACGGACATTCTGCAAAAGAAGCAAGAAGCAGAAGCTGCTGTAAGTTCTATGTAAACGCCACCCCAGGAGTGCTTTTGATCTTCTGTTGTGCTCTGAGTTTTCCTACTGCTGAGAGGCAGACCAGAGAATGGAGAAACAGCTTTGCCAGGCTCTAGTTCATAGACTGGGGCTGTGTGGGAGAATGCTTCACGCTCATTGGTCTCAAGGACTGTGGTCCCACACTGCTTCCCCAGCAACCTCATTGTTCATTTTAGGGTGTATACTGCTACCAGACTTCATTCCTGTCCTCCAAAGGCATGGCCATTTAGTGGATTAATGGCCTTTTAATGGTACTCTCCTGAAGAAAAGGCAGGCTACCTGTCAGATGTTCTTCATGGGCTGAGGGACCGAGATGCCAATGCATAGAGCACCCAAGCAGGTGGCCTGAAGGCCATGTGTGGGGTCTGAAAGAGCAGGCCCTTTGCCAAAGAAGCTCTGTTTCTTCCATCCCGCTTCCTGTGTGGACTCTCCTTATTTTCAGTGTTGACAGTGTAGTGTTGGCAGTGTAGTCAGTTTTTTGACTCAGTCAGTAAGGCCTGTAGGGTCCTATTGGCAGGGATCTCCTGTACTGTTGTCACACCGTATCCTCACCACAGCTGGGCAGAAGGGCAGGGAAGTGGTACCATCAGCAGCAGAGCTCCAGTACTCTACAGCTTGTTCCAGAGTGGGCTAGTCCTAAGCTTGAGCTCTCCAGAATCCTCACAGAATCCCAAGCTGGGTGTGTGTGTGTGTGTGTGTGTGTGTGTGCAGCCCAGTTTGCACCACTATCTCTGGTCCTCAGGACAAAGAGGCAGGACCTAGCGAGGGTTCTGACAGTGGTCGCCATTGTTGTTTGGCAGGTTCGGTTGATGCAGGAATCTGTCCGAAGGATAATTGAGGCAGAAGAGTCGAGAATGGGTGAGAAGGAGGGTCCTCTCTCAGCATGGAGCTGGGGTGGTAGGGGGACTTTGGGGTTTTATAGGAGCCTATGGCTCCTTCAGCCCAGCTGAGCAGAGACGTGCTCTACAGAGGGTGACTCTGGCGTTGACTGAAATCATCCTTCAGGGCTCATCATTGTGAACGCCTGGTATGGAAAGTTTGTCAATGACAAGAGCAGGAAGAATGAGAAGGTCAAGGTGATTGATGTGACGGTGCCCCTGCAGTGCCTGGTGAAGGACTCCAAGCTCATCCTCACAGAAGCTTCCAAGGTATGTGGTGCTAGCGACTAGGGGATCGGAAAAGGGAAAATGGGCAGTTTAAGGAGCAGATTCCATCTTTGAAGGACAGCCTGGCCCATTGAAATGGCCAAGTCCCTCTGTTACCATGAGATCCTTCACATGGCATGCATTCACTGCTAGGATGCTGCCCAGAACTCAAGTAGTAGCAGCATTGGAACCATTTAGTTCTTTAAGTCACTCAACACTTATATATCTATTGTGTTGGGTCTTTTTCACATACAGCAGCAAACAAAATGGACATCTTGCTTTTGTGGCCCTTACATTGTATTTCTTCCTTGCCTGGTTCCAGAAAAAGCAAGAGGCTACTTGGAATACCCATGTGACTCACTACTGGAGCCTGGCATGGACTTAAAGATGAAGAGAAACACAGATTACCTCAGGCCAGAGAACGTGGGGCTCCCTGAGGATGTCCTAGTGTCTCTGTCCTGGCAGGGCTCCTGTAAGGATAGAGGATTCTGTAGTCTGGGGGAAGCAGCCTATCCTGTGAGGAAAGTCGAGGGCGAAATTAAATTCTCATTTATTTCCCTTGGAACTTTATAGAGAGCTTACATCTGTCATGAGCAGCTCCAGAGGGAAGTCAGGCCCCATCCAGATCACCTGCAGGCGGTGTTTTAAGTGGCTGTCTCCTTAGACTTTAGAATCACAATCTCTGTGTTCCAGGCTGGGCTGCCTGGGTTCTATGACCCATGTGTCGGTGAGGAGAAGAATCTGAAAGTGCTCTACCAGTTCCGGGGTGTTCTGCATCAGGTGATGGCGCTGGACAGTGAGGCCCTGAGGATACCAAAGCAATGTGAGTGTCTGCCCCTTACTCAGCTCCATGGGCCCTCAGAGCAGCTGCTCAGCAGGTGGGATATCGGCCACCTGTGCCCCCTGTAAGGAGCAGGAATGTCTAAGACTGTGACATTGCAGCTTGCCCAGAGCTACGATCTGATGTCCTGAGGCTTTGTCCCCTTCAAGGGTGGATTCAAGTGAGCTCTTTCCCTGGAAACTGCAGCCATGCTCCTCATGTTCCAGATCCTGTTAGCTCTTGGCAGCTGGTGTTCTGCTCCGGTCTGTGTGGTGGCTGAGCCCCACAAGCAGAAAAAGGGAATGAAAAGAGTTGCCTTTTGATGCCAAGACTGTCTTTTCTTTTACAGCTCACAGGATTGATACAGATGGATAAACTGCTTGAGAAACCAGATTTAAAAGAGGCTGCAAAAAATCTTGTCTTGGGAGTCTACAAATTCGGAAGCAGGGAAAATACCCAAACATCAGATGTTTTTATTTTATATTATTCCTATAGACGGTGGTATGGTATCGATTCTGTGCAGGGACAAGCAGACATGCCAGCTCTCACAGGTGCCACAGGGAGAGCCAAGGCAGCCCCACCTGGACCAGAACCGCTACACAGCCAATGTCTGTTGTGCCCGGGATCATGTTCCTGGAGGGAGGGGCCCTGGACCCCACCAGTCCCCGCCAGGCTTCTCCTCCGCATGCGTGCTGACTGCTGTCTGCACCAGTAGTTCATTCTGTCTTGAGGTGTATCTGGAGTATCCCACCTCACCAGCAGGACTGTGAACTACTCCTCCTAAAGTCCACGCTGAGGCCTCTGCTGGCCAGCGTCCTGAACAGCACGTGTGGAACTGTCACAGCAGTTCTGGAGAGCACTCTGGGTTTTGTACGTGCTTTCTCTCCGAGAACAAATGCATTTGGAAATTAAGTCTCTTTCCTGCCTCTCCCAGAACGGCTCAGAGCAATCATTCCAATTACCCCTAGTCTGGGGCAGCGGTGTGCCTCATGGTCCCTGGGCCCACCCCTGTTCCTGAGTCCCTCCCTTCCAGGAGTTACCCCAGTCCAGTGGGAAAAGGTCAAAGGATGCGAGTTACATCTCTCTCTCCACACAGCTGAGCAAGACTTGCCTGTGCCCACCCACTTCTACAGCCCAGGGTTGCAATGGAGAGAGTCTTCCAAGAAAAAGGGCACACTAGATCCTGGGGAGTTATAGATTAGGGCTGGAGACACAAGCCAAATCCTGAGGAGGGAAAACACCTGGAAGGCTGCCCTAGTGCAAGAGGGAGACCAGCTGGGCTCCCTCCCACTGCAAGCCTGCGCTGCCCCCAGCAGATGGCACTGCTTCTCCCTGTGTCTCCTCAAAGCTGGCTTCTCCCCTCCACGGGATGGCTCTGCTCTGAAGACCTTTTCTGTGCACACAGTTCTTTGGGAGCCAGGGTGGCCCTGTTCAGCCAGCTGTTAACAAGCCAACAAGTGCCCACTGAGCTGGAGTCAGGGGAACACTGTCCCACCCGGAACTGAGCCTGGGAGAACCCAGCTCCTGGAGTGCGCAAACCATGAAGCATGAGGCCGCTGGGCAGGCTGACCCGTCGTTGCGATACAGACACAGCTAAAATCCAGCTCTGCTCCCCTGGCACTGGTATCCATAATTGCTAACAAGCCCTTTCCTCCAATTCTTAAACATAGTTCAGGGGGGTATCATTTCCATTTAAACAAGTCTTTGACCCGAATGCTGAATGTGAATCGTACAATAAACCTGGTGTTAGTGGATCTCTCTGGAGACAGCCTTGTGTTCCCTCGGCTGCAGGTGGTTCTGAGCACCAATCTGCTTCATTTTGTTTCAAGTTGATCACTCTGGCACCGTAATAAACCTTTCTGGAAAGCTGGGGATCCTACTTTAATGATACCTGTATTTTGTGTGAGGAGTGAGCTTCCTCACACACCTAGCCCACCCTTGCTCCCCGCTGCATCACTGATTCTTTCCTGTTTGAACCCCATTTTAACCCAGAAGGTCCCGTGTCCTGTAGTCTGAGAATGAGTCCAAAGTAAGGAAATCATTTAGCTTAGGACTTTTGTTAGCTTTCTCTCTTTAATTAACTGAAGTCACATTTTTAGAAAATTCAAAGTCGGTATGCTCTTCAGCTGCTTCCATAGGGAGTATGTCCTCATGGCCACTTCGAAGTGAGGCAGAAAGGAAACCCTGACACTCAAGTCTCAGTTCTGAACCGAAGGAGGTGCTGCAGCCAGTGTAACAAGACACTTGGTTGCTCAGACCAGGTCAGAAGGGGAGTTACCCCTTAGGCAAGGAGGCCGCTCTCAGCCCGATTGTGGCTACACTGGCTGCCATGGAGTGAGCCCTTGCCCCTCTTCATCTGAAGACAAACGCTTAGTGTATCCTGGGACCCATTACCCCTGGGAATGTGTTCTCTGGAGAAAGGTTCGCCTCCACCAGGGCAGCTCCTGACGCCTGTGGAGCCCCACTGCCTGCCCAGCTGGTATGAAAGTCCAGCCTTAACTGAGCTCACCTGAGTGAGGACTGTGTGCCACTGGGGGGGACTATGTCACCCTCCTGCTTCCCTCCCTCTCCTTGCCTTAAGCCTCCTCTAAACGCTTCCCATCTGCTGAAGTTGGGGATTCTACACTAGATAGGTTTGCCACCCTCTCACTGTCACCATGAGAGTGAAATGTCCACGCCAAGAGCAGGGTTCAGGCCACAGTCAGCTCTGCTGCTCAGGCCGTGCACAGGCCCCGGGGCTCCGCCGCCCTTCTCTCCGGGTGCTGAGGCGACACCACATTCTCCGCAACTCGAGTCTCTGGGCCCGCAAGCGCTTCCGGAGCTTTTCATTTTCCTTCAGGGTGAGGAAGAGTTTCTTTTTCAAGGCATCCAAGTCCAGAAGGGCATAGCTGTGATCAGAGGATCCTGTGGGGGTGGCCAGTGGACTGGAGGCCTCCACGACTTCTGTCCGACCAGGCAAGACCTGAGGGCAGAGGCAGGTGAGAGAGGAACTGCTCAGAGGTAGAAAATCGCAGTGCTCTCAGGCCCTGGGCTCGGGGCAACGCCTCTCGGGGAGGCAGGTCACTAGACTCGACCAAACCATCAGCACGTGGCCGCCCCGCTCATTTCCCCAGGCTCCTGTAATCTCCGTGGAGGGGGCCTCTGTGGGGACCCTCACTTTTGGTGAAGCGCATCATCTCCCACTGCATTCTGTTCAGCATCTTACCTCTTTCCCAGGGGCTCCTGCACTTGTGGGCAACTGCAGCTCTTCCACAGCCTGATCCTTGCTTCTCACTGTGCCATCCACCTCTGCCCCAGGCACTACCTACAGAGCAGGAAAGAGTGAGGCCTGGCTGCGCAGACAACAATTCCTCATCCAGGCACCTCTGTTTCAATGTATCAACAACTACAGACCAGCCACATAGTTTGTGCAGCAACACAAACCACCAGCCACTTCCTACCACACTCTAGACCCGGAACCTCAAGAAATGAGATACAACCCAGACCTGAAACCAAAATAAGCAAGCATGAGGCAGGCCTGCCTTTCCTCTTCCCAGCAGGTAGGGTGCAACTCCCAAGTCAACAAGGAAGGCACAGCAAACCCTTGACTGCTTGCCGCCGCCATCACCTCAGAACAGCACTGCGCAGACTGTAATCCACATCTCTTGCTCCAACAATGTCTGTTCTCCCTCACATACCGGGAAGTAGATAACCAGGCAGGGCGCTGCACCCCGAGGAATGAGGAATCCTACAATCAGGGCCCAGGCCTCTCTTGTCTACAGCATCTGGCTCACCTGAGGCCCAACACAGACACATAGTTACAAACCATCACCTGAAGTTCCACCTCACTGCCCTCTTGGGTTTGCTGTTGCTTCCAACATGTTCTCATATCTGGAGTCACAAGCCTATGAGTAGGTCCTCTGAACCAGGGCCCTACCTAATTCATACATGTTACCATAGGGCCTGACATTCTGCCAGGCACATCACAGGTGCCTCGGTAAATTGTCCAGTGAGTGAACACTACATAGTAGAAAACCAGCCTAACTACCTCAGACGCCACCGACTCAGAATCAGTCAGACAGCTGAGTCCACAGGGTTGTGTCTGCCCAAAACCTAACTTTGGCAGTGCAAGAACTTGTTAGGTGCCCTTGGCTTAATGTGCACAGCAACCCCATGTGACAGACCAGAACTGCCCTGCAGGGTTTACTAGAGTCCTCTTTACAGGAAGACTTCCAGGCCTTTCGCTCACAGCGTTGCTAGGTGGGTTCAAACTGCCGACCTTTCCATTAGCAGCCGAGTACTTCACCGTTACACCACAAGGCATCCTTACTGAAACAACTAAGAAGTATGAATTACAACTGTACCTCCCCGCTGCTCCAAGTTGTTGAACTATAGTCTTTGTGTTGTTGTTAAGTGCCATCAAGTCAGTTCCAATCCAAGGAGACCCTGGGTAGGGTTTCTGAGGAGCAGCAAGTGAGCTTGAACCGCTGACCTTGCAGCTCAAACCAACTTTGCATCTAGCACATTAACCCACAACACCACACCAATAATACCTGTAAGACACATAAATTCTTATTTCGGGCAAAACGTTACCACAAACGTTTCGAAGTGGTTAAGGTGTGCTCCATTTGCTACCAAACAAGCATTGAGCACCTACTTTGTCAGGCACTGTTGTGGATGTTGGGAGTAAAACAGAACTAAACAACTCCCTTGCCCTCATGAGGCTTACATTCTATCTAGTAAGATGGTGAGAAGAAAAAGGGTAGAAGGGCCGGGGTGGAAGGGAGGTGGTCAAGGTCAGGGTCAGCCTTAAAGGAAAGGTGAGGCGGCAGACACTTGTATATGTGGGAGATCATCCAGGTAAAAGGAAGAGCAAGTCCGGAGGCCCCAAGTTGGGCACTGGCATATCTGCTGCTGAAACGGCCACCGTTCCTCCTGGCAGGCTGTCACTTGTACTGCTTTCCACTCTTCCACTCACAGCTCCCAAAATGTTCACCTGGTGCAAGTGGGAACACACGTGGTGGTGGTGGTTATGTGTTGTGGAGTCGGTTCTGACTGACAGCGATCCTGCACAGGGTTTCCGAGGCTGTAAATCTTCATGGGAGCAGAAAGCCTCATCTCTCCTGCAGAACCGCTGGTAGTTTCAAAGTGCTGATCTTGGGGTTCGCAACCCAACTCATAACCACTACGCTACCAGAGCAAAGGCTGGGTTCAGGCCAATCCAGAGGAACCATGGAAGAAAAGTGTGACCCAACACTTCTACACATTTAACCATTTAAAAACCGAAGCACAGTTCTCTGACACACATGGGGTCGCCATGAGTTGGAATCAACTCATGGACAAATGGAAGATAGAATACACCCTTTGGTTCCAGAACAGCATGTTCTTCAAGCTGCAAATGGGGACGCCAGGCGTGGACCTGCACTCTCCCTTCCTGATCTCTCTCCGAAGCTAGGCCTATACATCTGCCCCCCGACACATTTCTACCTCAAAAGTCCACTGGCCAAACTCATTGTGCACAAGACCAAACTCCCTGGAATGAGGAAACTACATTTTCCAGATGTTCAATGAGCTCTGCTCTCTCCCACCACCACCTACCTTCCCATTCCTCCTCCCTGCACCTCACCTGCAGCCCAGGTCGCCAGCGTTGCCAGATAGTCTACAGTGGTCCTCCTGTTTCCTCATGCATTTGAATGGGCTAGGTGAGATATATATACACATGTATATGTCTTAGCTATCCATGCTGTAACTTAGTGCCATCCGGGGATGGCACTTTAGGATCAGCACTGGACTTCTAACCACAAGATCAGCAGTTCAAACTCACCAGCTGCTCCTCAGAAACCCTATACAGGATTGCTGAGTCAAAACCGATCTGATGGCATTTGACAATGATGATATTAGTGATTAAATGCAAAAGTGGCATATGCCTTTTTAGCAAAATGAGATGAACTGTATTATAAAAATTTTAGTGGATATGGGGTACTGATTTGCACTGTACACTACATTTTCTATAAAAAAATAAAATAAAAAAAAATTCCACAATAAGGAAGTGAGGCCGTGAATTTAATAGTCTGTACTTCTGCCAAAATAGCACCTTGACTTTCACCAATTATGCTTCAAATGGCTCAGACTGGAATCTTGGTATTTGTTTAGAAATAAATGCTATAATTATAAATGAATGAAAAGATGCAGTAGAACAAAATTTAATGATCAGAAAACATACAACAATTTGAGTTTTTAGATCAAAGTTTCTAACATATTATAAAAACATTTGTTTCTAGTCTCACAAATTCTTCAATGATTTTTGTCATAAACTGCTGAACAACATCTACTTTTATATATAATAAGGAGAATGGATCCACTCTTTCATTTTAGTTGTTTTTCACCCCCTAAAAAATAGCTTGTTTACCAGGGGGCTTCAAAAAATTCATGAAAAAAATATCACTATTTTTCCGTGAACTTTTTGAAGTCCCATGTATTATCTATTACATGTCGAGATTCTAAACAATCCCTCACACCCTTTCTGGGAGAAACCTGAGACTTTCAATTTACCATTTCTTGCATCACAGGCTCTTCCAATGTGAATAGCATATTTTGGGGGTGGGGTTATTGTGGTTTGGGTGAAAGTTAACAGTATTTTCGTTTTCCACTCAATTTCAACAGGCTTTGTTTCATGACTTGAGTTCTGTGACTAGCGACCCCTTCAGTGTAATAGCACTCTTCACTCTTCCTCCCTGGGGCTCCATTTCCATCTGTCTTCTCTCCTACCCCTTCCTGCCTTCTGAACTTTGTTTCTGGGTAAATGCTGCCCTTTTGATCTTGAGTACAGACCTCCCTAGATCATTAGATCCTTTATGTTACTGTTAAGTGCTGATGAATTGGTTCTATCATAGTGACCCTATTTAGGGTTTCTGAAGGCTGTAAATCTTTATGAGAGCAGAAAGCCCCATCTTTCACCCACGGAGCAGTTGGTGGGTTTGAACTGCCAACCTTGCAGTCCAATGTTTCTCCTACAGTGCGGCAGCGCTCCCAGATTCCCATTATAGGACTGTCTATTGTTTGGCGAATCCTTGGTGGTGAGTTGGGTTCCAGGCTTGAGGAGTACTTCAAGGGCCACAGTTTCGGGATGTCCACTAATCTCTTATCAAACCAGGAAATTTAGTCTTTTGTTTTTTTAAATTTTTGCTCTACAGTTTTTTTCTCTCTCCTCTGCCCAGGATTCTACTGTGATTGTGATCAAAACTGTGTGTAGTGGTAGCTAGGTACCAGGTAGTTCTGGTCTCCAAGTAGTGGGCTAATCCTCCTCAGGGCAGCATCGCTTACCCACTTCCTCTGTGTCTCGTCTTATTCCTCCTCCTTTCCCCACCCTTCTGCATTTTGCCCTTAAATAAATGCTGCCCTTTTGATCTCAAATGACTGACAGTTCTGTGGTAGTGTACCTCATTAGTAGTGGTGCCCGCCCCTCCATATGCCTATCTCTTGCCTGGCTGAAAATAGAGCCACATGGATGAGTTCAGCTCCAGATCTGAAGGGTAAACTAAGGCCATAGTCTTAGGGTTCCACCAGTCTGTCTTCTTTATGATTCCGAGTTTTGTTCCACATTTTCTCCCACTCTATCTAGCACCTTCTAATGTGATCCCTTTCAGAGCAGTTGGGTAGTGGTAGCCAGTCCCGACCAGCAATTCTGATTTCAGGGGCATGGAGCCTGGGGTCCATGTGGTCCATTAGTCCATTGGACTCATTGTTTCTGAGGGTCTTGAATTTTCATCACTTTTCTTTCTTTCACACAAGGAGAAACCAATAGCTGCACCTTAGATGGCCGCTTGTGAGCTTTTAAGATCCTAGTCAATATTCACCAAAGTCTTTGTGGACTGTTATGCCAGTTGACCATGGAGTCCACTGAGATGATGGCCTGAGCCCCCAGGACCAGCAAATTATTACCTCAAGGTGTTTAACAATGTCTCATTAGTTTTCATAACTTTGCCCTGTTCACTCCACCACATTCCTCGATATGTTTGTACCCATGAACAAATACCTCGTCACCCCTTTATTTAATTGTGGGTATACTCCCACGCTCCTTCTGACACCCATTCAGACTGTGTATCTATCCATGTATCTACCTGTGGATTTTCTTCACTCTTCTTCCTTCTGGACAAGGAAAAACTAATACTTACATCTTAGATGTCAAATCAGGTCTTTCTTGAATCACCATTGTAGTGATTTTTGTTTTTGTTTTTTGTTAGGGATGTTTTTGAGTTTTGTTAGGGATGAAAATGAACATTCTCTTGTGCAGCTTGTGAGCATTAAAGTTAGGAATGTGCATAAAACAATTTCAACATTGAGAAATACACATTGTATTTTATCTTCTATTATGGAGCCACAAATGCCTACACAGTAAAGGTGGTTTTTCCAGAATCTATAAATTTAGCTATCATGTAAAAATGAAATTGTTGCACTTCTCCATAGGGTCTGTATTGAAGTCACTGGGACAAGCCTGCAGTCTTCATCAAGTGTTATGTAGCCACACTGGGTAAGAAGGAAAATCCATTTAAAAGAACTTCTTCCCTTTTCACCTTCTTTTCATTCAAGTGTGTCACTGATGGTGGAGTAGGTGGTTACACAGAAGTGATCTCTGGCACTCAATACTTCTGGAGCGTTTCCGTCATTTACTTGTCTCTTTCCAATGTTTCTGTGACAGAAAACTTTGTGATAATCAGTCTTTGGCAATACTTGTTCTGTTGTGTTTTCAAAATTTTTCAAAATCATCTCTTAAATTATGGAACTGTCCTGTTAATTACTAGGAGAGATCTGTGCGTGCTTTGAAATTTACTTCTGAATCTTGGAAAGCTTGAGTCATCCAATGAAAATGCTGTTAATATTTTGTTCCACATAACCAACATAAATGTTTATTTTATTTATTTATTTATTTATTTTGGGTGATGTTTTCAACTTCTCTTTCAGCGTCTTCTTTTTGTATCTAATCTTAAGCAATATTTTCTAAGGCATCTAGAGTCTGAGTGTAGGATTCCATGTGCTTCTCAGTGTGTATTAGAAAAAGGCCTAAATATGTTTTAAGTACTTCCCATCAGTGAGTGTTGTTTTTAGGTGCCACTGAGTCACTTCCAACTCACAGTGACCCTGTGTTCAACAGAGCACAACACTGCCTAGTCCTGTACCACTCTTAGAATTGTTGCTATGTGGACGCCCATCGCTGCAGCCACTGTGTCAATCCATTACTCACTAAGGGTCTTCCTCGTTTTCGTTGACCCTCTGCTTTCCTAAGCATGATGCCCTTCTTCAGGTTCTGGTCCCTACTGACAACATGGCCAAAGTACATGGGAGAAACCTGGCTTCTACAGAGCCACACAGTCTTCACTATACAGCCTGGTACCTCTAGGACACCCAGCGAAAGTAAACGCCTCCAGGAACGAGCTCTTAGAGCATTCACCCGTCAGCTGCTTCAGCAGCAGCTTCTTGTGGCTACTGCTGCTCTGACTAGTCCTTGGCCTTGACTTGCCCTGAAAATGCCTCCCATTCCTCCTTTCCCAATCCCACCCCCAGACCCCCAGAGCTGAGAGAATGTACACACACAGGTGCTGAGGAGATGAATGGACAATGGGGGTTCCTACCTGCATGGACTCCTGGAAGGCAAACACTGTGGGTACGGCATTGTGCTTCAGGTTTTTGCGGTTCCCAAAGGCACTGAAGCACTCGGGCCGGAAGTGCTCTGAGCAGATGACAGTGTGCTGCTTGGGCTTGAAGTTGCCGCGACCGATGTTCAGCACCCATTCCTTCAGCAGTTCTGGGCGACTGAACGGGAACCTAAGGGACAAAGAAAGGAGATGGCGGGGTGTACATTATCACAGAGTATTCATAGTGGACAATTTTAGAAAAGATGCAGCCCCGATTCCTGGAGGGTTATGCATCCCTAGAAGAAAATTGGTGGCCAGGAATGTGGCCAAGAGCCTAAGGGAACGGTGTTTTCGTTGTGACACTTGCAAGTGGGCCTTCACCCACTCACACAAGAGCCTGTTTGTTGTGTCACACCCTAAGTGTGGTGCTGAGGATGTGGGAATAACAAAGTCTTTGCCTTCATGGGCCTCCATTCAAGAAAGGGGAGACAGATGCTAGATCACACAGATGTAGACAGTGTCAGATGGTAGTAACTAGTGCCAGGAAGTACCAGGCTGGTCAGGGAAGGCCACTGTTCAGAGAACATTTGGGCAGAGACTAAGGGAGTGGGCAGCAAGCCAGCAGAGCAAAGCCACACCAAGAGCACAGTGTGACAAGAGGCCACCAGGGAGAGTGGGTGGGAGCACTAGGGGACAGCTGAGAGAGCAAAGGCAGCAGAGAGTGGGGGCCTCAGGGAAAGGGGATCTTAGAGGTCAGCAGTTAAGGTGGGAATCTGAGGACAGATCTGGGGGGATTTTGAAGGCAGGACAATGAGGTTTGCTGATGGCTGTGAAGCAGACATCCAGGAAGAACTGGAAGAAAGGCGTATCATGTATAGAGATGGGAAGGGCAGGTTTGAGGGGTGAATTTGTTCTTGGGTGCTCGATGTTAAATTTGAGGGGCTATTTAGATGTCTGTGTACTGACGGTAAGTGGGCAGGTGGATACCGTATCTGGAGATACCAACATGGGATGTCCCTGTATTAACAGTGGTAGGGTCAGCCTGGGTGGCACCTCTGTTCTGGGGAGCAAGTGTGGATGGGGGTGGTGGATCCCAGGGCCATGCCTCACACCCTGAGGCACACCAACGTTTAGCAAGTGAGAAGGACTTGCCAAGGGCACTGAGCAGGAGCACCTGTGACAAGGAAGAGGCCAGGTGTGGTGACCTAAAGTCAAGTGGAAAGTTTTCAAAGGGTCATTGATCAGTTGTGCCAACTGCTGCAGAGGTCAGTGATGGTGAGCAGTGAGGACTAGCCAGTGGAGTTAAAAGAAGGGCCACTGGTATCCTTGACAGAGCCAGTCTGTGTGAGGGGTGGGACAAACGTCTGGTTGGAAGGGGTTTAAGAGAATAGGAGGGAAGTCCACTCCCAGGGACATACCCAACATAATGCACAGACAGAGCACCATCAGACAGGGCCAAACAATCAACAGCAGCAGATGTGTAATGCCAAAAAAGCAGAGGCCACCCAAATGCCCTTCACTTGTAGAGCAGGTAAACCAATACTGGATTAGGCATTCACTGGAACACTACACAGCAACAAAAATGAATGACCTGCTGTGTACAAGGAAGACTCAGGTGAGCAACTGCAGAGGCCAGAACAAAGACACATGATGACTGCAGCTTTGTAAAGTTCTAAACAGGAAGAACAAAGCCACTCTGATAGAAGCAGCACACACGTTACCTGGGGGAGGGGAGAAAGAGGCACAGCCTAGAGGTTCTCCTGGGGGTTCACCTTGTGAATACTCACTGGGCTGTGTACTTGCTGAGATGTATGCATGTTTCTGGATGGATGGGGTATGCCAATAAAAACATTTCTCTTAAAAAGATGGGGATTTGGGGTGCGAAGGGAGTAATACACAAGAAGGGGGAGGGGCATGGAAGAACAAGGCGGAGGGGAAAACAATTAGGCAGGTTTGCATGGGCTAAGCAGGACAGAGGTAAAGAATGATGTATGCACAACCTTGGGACAACAGGGTTCTGGGATACAGGGATTGAGACATGGTTGGAATGGGCAAAAGGGGGGAAATAATGTTAAGATGCTTGGCTGTCTTTTGAATCTTGGTTTCCCTGGCATACCACTATAAAATAAACACTTGAGTGGGAGAGAAAGGAATAGCCAGAAATATCACCATAGAAAGCTTGTAAGTCCGTCTTCTGCCTGTAACTGATTGGAATACCTAAAATGGGGCTACAACATGCCCAGTGAGGGAGGCTTCCTGGGGTAGCCTCTGTATTACATAAGATTATATAGGTGGAATCCTGAACCTTACCCAAAATCTTCTAAGGTGGGAAATCTCCACTTGAAAGGACAAGCAGACCAACCTGGAGCGACTAGAAGAACAGAAGATACTTCTTGAAAGAAAGACCGACAGGAAAAATACAAAACAATAAAGGCAGTCTGACTGATTGCTACAAGAACAAGCAAGTTGCTCGCCCAGGAGACATCCAGGCAAGTGGTCAGGTCCCCTCAGGGCAAACCCCCTTACAAGACTAAGACTCAGTGGGAATACACGAGCAGACATGCACTCTGATTAGTGACCACATTTGTCACCAATAAGGGGAAGTGAGGGAAAAACAGCAATGAAGCTGCGAGCTAAGCCCTACAACGTTCAATAGATTCCTGTGAACCCGGGTGGAGACCTGGTTGGCTAGCAGTGTGGCAAGACCTGGGGACTCGTGGGACCAGAGTCAGTAACATAGGCACAGAGAACTAGAGTGAAGAGTGAAACGTACAGCTGATAAGAGAGGGCATATGCATAAGAACACCCACACTTGCAGATAATACCCACTCAACCTGGCTTCAATGACTGGATGATCAGAGCTCAACTAGAAGAAGAAAAAAGAGAGGAAAAAAAAAAGAGTAATCTAATACAATTTGATGAACTTGACCTACACTTATGGATGCAGTAGCTCAAAAGAGGGAACAAATCTTTATAGTGAGGATGATTCCCACCCCCTCCATACACAGAGTAGACAGGGATGGGCAATTTGGACACTGGCCCCCCAAAATGGGGGGGGCTACAAAGGCAAGAAGTGACTGGCTTACAAGCTTTCAAAAGGGAGCCTAGATTCAGAGGGCGTGGAGGAAGGTAGAATCTCCACTGAGTAGTATCCAATCTGTCTGGGCGTGGCTGGTGAAGGGAGATGGGGATAGGTCCCTTGTGGTACAATGGCAAATAATTGTTATCAGGACTGACTGTGAGGGTTGGAAATGTCAAGGTGGACGTTTTGTAGCAAAAGGAAGGGAGTGATTGACTTTGCAGCCCGTGAGTGGAGGTCCCTGGAACCATCAAGGTAAATTAACAGAGTGTGGGACCCTACCCAGAGAAATAGTGATGCCAGAGATGGAGGTAGAGATGATGACATGGACAGATGGAGTGACTGGGGACTTTAGACCCAGAGAGGGAAAGGGGCTGTGTGCTGATGACTGGGGGGCAGGCTTGTAGTGTATACCCTTTGGTTGGGTGATGATGCATAGAAGGGATTGTAACCATGGCAATGAAACGATATAAAACAGGATGAATGTAAAGCTAATGTTCTCCCATGAAACTATCACATAATTCACAATAAAACATTAAAAAAAAAAAAAAAAGACAGGGATAATAGGAGAGGAAGTGGAGGCTGTAAGCCCTGTGAGTTGTGCTCTTTGATGGTTATGTGCCGTGGAGTCAGTTCTGAACCATAGCGACCCTGTACAGGGTTTCCAAGGCTGTAAATCTTTACAGGAGCAGAAAGCCTCATCTTTCTCCCGTGAAACAGCTGATAGTTTTGAACTGCTGACCTTGCGGTTCGCAGCCCAATGAGTAACCACTACGCTACCAGAGCTCCTTAGGGGACAAAAAATTTGGTGTGTGGCTGGATCCTTGTAGAAAGTGTACAAACACTCAATCCACACCAGTGAAGAAATCCATTCACTCAGCCCAAGACCACATTCCACAGCTGTCCTGGGAGTACAAGAACAAATCCGCACAAGTACAAGAACAGAAGCATGCTTCCTGGACCCTGCTAAATTCCCCACTCTCCTGACACATCCCACCTATCCTTCAGGAAACACAGGGAGATGGCCTAGCCAAGCGCCCAATACATAGCAAGACGTGACAAACCATGACTCTCATTTATATTCATTCAATGAGCAAATGCATACTGAATATCTACTAGATCCCAGACCACTGATGTGAATAGAATAGTTCTTATGACTTGGAGGGACATGTTGTTGTTAAGTGCTGGGAAGTCCCTTTGTACTTATAGGGTTTCTGAGGAGCAGCTGGTGAGTTTGAACCACCAGCCTTGTGGTTCCAAGTCTAGTGCTAATCCCACAGGCCACACCAGGTGTCCAGGAGGGACATGTTATATGGAGGAAAACCAACAGGCAATAAACAAGAGCTTTGAAGAGATTCTTCTGGGTTCAATCACTACCCACCAAGCAAAACCAAAATGGACCTAATTTACAAAGTGTTGTACTGTAATGGGAAAAACTATGCCCTGCTAGAAACCTAATCTCCCATGTAGAACAGGAAGGCAGTATGCACACTGCCTAACAACCACAAGTCGCAAACAAGCAGAGTGGGAAACAACTGCTGGCTCAAGATGGAAGGACACACTGCTGGGAACATGGCACTCACTCTCCACATTGCCCCCAATCATCAAACTCCCCATCAGGCTCCTGAAAAGGTGCACTTTGCATCTTTCAGGTCTTCCTCCAGTTCGGGTTACCAATCCCACATTTTACAACTTCTAGTCTATTCCATGTCACCAATGACCCAGCTGGTTCCAACCAGTTCAAAACCCTAATATACACAGAAAATAATTTCGGATGGTAGGAAGCACTAGGAGAAAAATTCAAGAGGATTGGTAACTAAATACGCAGCTCTGGTGTAGGATAAGCACTGGACCGAGAGGTTGGTTTGAACTGCAAGGTTGGCGGTTCAAACTCACCAGGTACTCCTCGGAAATCCTATATAGGGTCGCTTGGTGTTGGAATCGACTCGATGGCACCTGACAACAGGGAGACAGCCTCCTAGGGGAGCTGATACCTGGACGCTATGGCCTAGGGCCCAGCGCCAAGTCCTACCCCCCCCTCCAGGAAGCCCTCTGGTAGTCAGGCTTTGGAAGCTGCAAGGCAGCGTACAGATTACTTAACCTCTCATTTCTTGGCTGGCAGAGGAAAGGTGGCGCTGGTCCTCCTGCACCCAAGGCCCAGAACCCCAGCCTGCCCTGCCCCCTCCTCACAAAGCGCACGCAGGTGAATTGCCAGACTGGACCAATAGCAGCCCCGTCGTTTCCTCCCGGCCCAGATGAAGCAGATGGTTCCCAGGGTCCTGGACCCGGGCCTCCTGCGCCTCCTGGTTCCCCGCCTCTCACCGATGGAAGGTGAGCTGCTTCCTGCGGTTGCTGTAGCGGTTGCAGCACTGACGGGCCGCGCACGACTTCGGCATCTCCAGGTGACAAGCCCTACTGCCCCTAACAAAGATGGCGGCGCCTGGGCGTGCGGGGCGCAGCGGGCCTGAAGGGCGGGACCAGCGCGAGTTTTGTAGGGAGCCTGTAGGAGGGGCCGTCGAGGCCTGAGGGTGGAACATGGCTAACAAGGCTTGTGGGTGGGACCTGGAAAAGGGGCGGGGCCAGCAGACTGCTTGAAATAATTGGGCTGGGCTCTGAGGCAAGAACTTACCTCAACTCCAGCCCCAGGATGGATGCCCACAGGGCCCCTAGTCAAGTGGTGCTCTCAGCCCCAGATATAAGGCAGGCCTGAAATCCGGAAAAGAACAGCCCAGAGCAAGTTTCACCCTGGTTCACTTTTAAGTCCCGTCTTCCCCTGCTAGCAAGGGGAGCCTCAAGGCCATGCTGAAGTCTTTGTAGTACAGTGGAGCAGGTTCCATCTCAGCCACCTTGCATAGGGTTTCCAAGGAATGGGTGGTGGATTTGAACTGCCAATCTTGCAGTTCAAACGAACTTTGCAGTCCAGAACCACACCTGTACTCCCCTAAGTCTTGGACAACTGGAAACAAGGAAAAGGCACAACAGCCATGATAGCCAGCATTTTCAGGATTCTGAAAGGTTTGCATTCCTCTTATGTCACTGGAGGAAACACTAGTAACTAGTCAGTCCCAGCCTGGAGGCTAAGAGACAGCTCTGGGGGTAAGACAGGGGACTGGGAACCCAAAGTGTAAAAACGCCAATGACCAAGTGACTAGGCCTTCAGTTTGCAGAGACAAAAGGTGCCACCAGCTTCTACAAAGCAGGCTTATCCCCTGGGGTTGAAATGAATCCACAATTTGAGGAAGAAACTGAACAATATTCAGTTCTACTCATACTGTAATTGAGAATTTATCCAAATAGTATATTAAGGGCTGTGGGAATTTTTCATCGAACTGAATGAAGTTTGGAGTCCTGGTGTGAGGCACTTTAGGATAAACGCTGCTAACTGCAAGGTTGACCATTCAAACCCACAGCAGCTCCTTGTAAACCCTATATAGGGTCACTAAGAGTCAGAACCATTCAAGGGCACTTTAACAAGAAATGAAACTCAAACTTGAACTTCCAACTGTCTTTGTGTAATCATGTTTGGGAGCAGACAGAAATACAATGCTTTTACAGCAAACACAAACCTGAGTTAGACACGAACCTCAAAGTAGCAATATTTATTTACAAAATATACAGTTTCACAGAAACAGCTTCGCTTTATACACATAAACTTTAAAATTACACAGAACTATGTAACCGATGTTAAATGTCTCACCAGGCCAAAGCCAATGGGAGGAGCCTACTTTTGGGGTGAGATCTCTCCCTCCCCTCATGTCACTTGCCAAGCAGGAGCACCTACATGAGCATCCCAAATTTGCGTATAGAAGCTAATAGCCGCTGCCCTGCTCAATCTAACACAAAAACTGAGGTGTCTGCTTCTTAGACACCACCCGCAGAGACAAGACTGCTAAAAGAATGTCAGGGAAAGAAAAACTGAGATGACTGAACACCTAAATGCCTTTCATAGAGGCATCTCTAGGCATTGAACTTTCTTGTGCATTTAACAATTGCCAGTGGTAACAACTTTCATACTAAAATCATGCAAATTCTTAAATGCACGTTTAAAACTGTGGAGTTTTAAAAAAAAAAAAAAAAAAAAAGAAGAAGAAAACCCACTTGGGAACTTTGGTTATTCTCATGGTTAAGACAATGAACAGACCATGGCAACGGGCAGATCTTTGGCAAATTCCTCTCCACCGTGTCCTGACCATTTGTCTCCGTCAGTCACACAATTATCTGGTATGAAGCTTGTCTCTAAACCAACTTTCACGGTTTCCTCCACAGCAGAACTTCTCGCTGAAGGATCGTATAATAAACTGGGTTTTGCAAATGATTTCTACTTTTATGTAAATATAAGCGACGGATTTTTTTTTTTTTAAAAAGACTAGACAAGCCTAAGAGACACTAGGACAAAAACCAGGTTCTGATAGTCGCTGTAAGGTTCAACCACCTGGGCCCTTGAAAAAAGGTGGAGGAGTTGCCTGAGAGACCTGCCTGGGGCATCTATGATGCAGTGGGCAGCACCCAGCAAGGAGACTATAGCCTGTTCTGCTGCAAATAAATATGACTAACATCAACAGTCTCCCTTTTCGTGCCTTAAAAGAAACAATAATATGAGAACACGCCCATCAATTTACAAATAAAACATTTTGAGGACAAGTATTTGAACTGCTGGGGGCGAGGTCAATGACAGGAAAATCTGGAGTGCCCCCCTCCTCACCTTGCTCAAGCACAGTACCACCAGGGTTCGGGGCACTGCCCACCACCCTGTCTTCCCTCCTGCTGGCTCACACAGGGGTCTCCCCAGTCCAGAATCCTGGTTGAACCTACAAACTCTTCACAGTTCAATGGAAGATTCCTAAAGGAGGACTAATGGCATTGTATCACTTACTGACCAATTCAAGCCCCCAAAAAACCAGGATCGAAGTCCTGACCTTGCCCCCATGGAACCAGCAGGCCCAGCCTGAATGAAGGGCACACTAACAACTGCCTCCAGTAGAGGTCTCTTTGTCTTGAACCCATTACATAGAAGGACATGTGAATGTCCCAGTGATTGCCTTGCCTTTATGTTGCCACTGGAATAAACGTGAGGGAAAGAAATGATGAGAAATCCTACCTGCTCCCAAACTTGACAACAGCTTGCCTGGGCCCCTCAGACAGGAACTGGAGAAAAAGGGGTCACCTAGCAAGAACTTGGCCAACACTTTTGGCTGTATCGTGCAAAAGACAGGTTTTTTACATCGTGCAAAACGGTTAACTGCTTTATGAACACAGGCCACCTCACCCCACAAACAACCCCCTCTCCACAGAGAAGTGGCAACATACCATCCCTCTTAATGAACGGGAGAAAACCTAGAAATCAATCACTAGCTAGCCCACCACCCCAGGGGTCATCAGAGCAAGAGCAGAGGACTCAGGCTAGCAGACTCTGTGGTGGCTGAGGCAGGTCAAGAGGGCGGACCACAAGGGAAAGAGCCTTTCATGGTTGCTGTACAGATACTTATGGTAGAAGACTCACACTCAAGAAAGCTTACATGTATGGCTGTTCACGTGACAGGCCGGGGACACTGAAGACCTCCACTCCCAAACACAGAGGAAGCAGAGAATAACAGCTAGCATTTGTTCCAATCGGCGGGAAATTTGTTAACAATACTATCAAAGTTTCACAATACCTTGTACCCTCATTTTCTGCTGAACCCAACCCCACTGAGCCTGGATGTTCAGTCCACTTCCACTGCAGAGAACACCGCTCTAGCAGCAGCTTTGGCCAATGAAGATTTTATTCATCCCTGGTTATGTACAGTTTAGACCATGGACAACCTATCCTTTGCTTAGGCACCTGGATGGCAGAGGTCTGCTCACACCAGAGCTGAAATTTCTGTGCTCAACTAAGAAAAGGGCCAGAAAGCCCATAGTCCCTTCCAATTCCTTGCCCAGTCTCCTCACATGCCAACAGTCAGTCCAGAAACAGCTTCCGGGAGCCCATTCGGGAACGGTTGGAACGGCGGATGTCAAACTTGGAGTCCCGGCACTTTTGGCAGACAAACACTTCTGGAACGTTGGACTTGCGGATTTTCGCACACGACAGGTGGATCCAGGTGTGGCACTCGTTACACTCGATCATGGGGCGGCCAGCAAATGGCTTCATGCAGAAGCAGGTGACAAGATCCCAGGAATCATCATCTAAAGAGCAAGGAATACATGAGAGAAGGAACATCAACTCTTCCTACTCCCTCTCCATCAAGAAAGCCAATACTCCAATGGGGCAAAGCGTCCGAGCTGCCACGAGGCCTGTTATTCCACAAACAGAACGATTTCAACTGTCACTCACCGGTGGTACATTCTCTCTGATATGCTGTATAACCAGGAATTACCCATGAGATGATTACTTATAAACTACACTATTTTTACATTCTGAGGTTTGCTTTGGCACCTCATCTGTCTCTCTGTGATCGGTCCCTTACTGGGTTAGCTTGGTATTCCCTAGAGATGGTGGGATACACTTTGCCATCACACCCTCTGTAGGACCCCCACTATTCCTGGTGCAGGTGTTCACACCCCAGAGAACAACTCTGAAAACCCTGCCTCTGTCACTCAGGGATACTCACCCGAATCCACCATGATGTCCTCATCGTTGCCAGTGCTATCCTCATCCCGGAACACCACCTGCTTTCCCTGCCGGATGATAGTCCGTTTGCCTTCAGTCTTTATCTCTTTGACCTGATCAGGTGACACTGTGGCACAAGAGCCACTGGAAGGCGTGTCAGAGTCCCAGCCCGAGCTGGGGTCGCTGGGAGCCTGGGGGATATCCTGCAGTGTGGGACTCGTGGGGTTCTCCACATATGGGTCGGTGGCTCCCAGCTTCAACAAGCCCCCCATGTACTCCTCCTTGACAGGCACAGCACTATCCCTCCGCTTCCTCTTCTTCTTCTTCTTCAGCTTGTCAGTTTTCTTTCTGTCCAGGAGGAAGTTACTGGGCTTAGCCCGCTGTAAGACGGTGGGCTGCAGGTGGCTGAAGCAGCGGTCAGAGACAGGCAGGGGCACAGAAGATGCGATGTCGGGAAATGCAGCATCCCATCCGTCACTGTCGATAGTGCCAGCCGTGCTATTGGCAGGGCTGGGGCTGCTCCGCAAAGGCAGCTCCTGGAAGGGCAGAGACAAAAAGACAGAAGTTCCAGTTATCCTGTCCAGTCCTAGACTCAGAGCTGGCCTAATGCCTAGCTTCCAGGCCATTCGCAACCAGGTGGTAGGCGCTTCCCACTTTGAGCTTCTCAGCTCTCATCAGCATTCTACTTGAGGAAGAGTGTCAAGTTGTAAGCCTTACCAGGGAGAACAGAGTTCTGGTGTTGCACAGTACGATAAGCACCTGACCGCAAGGTTGGTTTGAACCGAAAGACGGGCAGTTCATACCCACCAGTCACTCCTATATAGGGTTTCTATGTGTCAAGAGTTGTCTCAACTGCGCTTACCAATAACTTGGGAGAAGGACTCTCTACCCTGACTTGGGGAGAGAATTTGCCTTCCATCCCTGAACCCCCAGCCCCAGTCCCAACAGCCATAGGATGCTCAACAGATGACCACAGATACAAACACTGAAAATATTTCCTCACATGGCTTTCATCTTTCCCTGATTATAAAATCTTTGCTGTCCTCTCCTCCTTTAAGGGATGAATCCTTTAATTAAGTGACCTTAAATTAGTTTTGAAATTTCCCTGACACTCTTTGCACTCTAGTCCTGGTGTGGCACCGTAAAATAAACACTAGACTGTTAACCGAAAGGTCAGTGGTTCAAATCCACCAGTCACTCCCTGGAAACCCTATACAGGGTACTATGAGTCAGAACCAACAATTTACAAATTTACAAATGGTGGCTTGATACAAAGCAGAATTATCCACCTATGTGACAAGTGGAAATTATGAACCAATGCTGAGATTTTCCTCTAAGAATCACTGAATGCTTTGCTTCCTTCAAATTTAGTACAATATGAAAGAAGTCCCAGGAACTGAATGGAATGGCAGCGTGGTCCACTGTCCTGTTCATTTCTCAACATAGAAAAAGTCGCAAGCCCATGTGTTCCCAAGTCATCTTTCTCCTGTGGCTTACACAGCAAACAGGACGCTGAGTGAGAAGCAACGCAGTATGAACCCAGAGCCATATAGTCTGGTGGTTCAGCTTCAAGTTCCTCTCTGCTCCTGTTTCCTTATCTGTAAAGCGGTGGTAAATAAACTCCACAAAAACATTGCGGTGGGGTTAACTCTGACTCACAGCGACCCTATAGGACAGAGCAGAATTGCTCCCAGGTTTCCCAAGACTCTAAATTTTTATCAAGACTGCCTTATCTTTCTCCCATGGAGCAGCTGCTGGGTTCGATTCGCCAACCCTTTCATTAGCAGATGAGCACTTAACCACTATGCCACCAGGGTTCCATGGGGTAAATAAAACACACAAAAAACACAACAAAACCTAACCCACTGCCATTGACTGCATTCCAACTCAAATACCAGAGTCAACAGCCCCCCCACAGGTTTTCCAAGGCCATAAGCAATCTTTCAGGAAAACAGACTGCAGAGTAAATGATGTGTAGGAACCCCTGCCTCTAGGTTCACAGCCAAGTGCTTAACCAATGCACCACTAGGGTTCTTTTCATAAAGAACTTACGTACTATCACTGCAAGTACAGCGCTGCGCCAGATTAAGCCCCCAGGTGGCACAAATGGCTAAGTACTCAACACTAATTGAAAAGTTGATAGTTGAAACCCACAAAAAGGAATGTTCTGGCAATCTGCTTTGCAGTTTTTCTGACACACATGGAGTCACCATGAGGCAGAACCAACTTGGTGAAAGCTGGTGGCGGCGGCGGTATTACTGTTGTTGCGAAGTGCCATCGAGCTGATTCCAATTCATAGCGACCCTGTCTATGGTTTCCAAGAAGTGACTAGTGGAGTTGAACCATCGACCTTGCAGTCTAGTTCTACTCCAACAATACAAATATATTATTTGCAAAGCTTTTTATCATTTCTAAGTAAGCCTGCATTTTCTGTGATGGTTTTTGGAAGCACTTTCCTGGTTGGTCTGCTTCTAAGCAACAAATTTCTACTTAACAAAGGCCTCAGAGTCCTGGTGTGGCACTGTAGGAGAACCACTAAACTGCTAGTGAAAAGGTCAACAATTCAATCCCATCAGTCACACCTTAAACATCCTATACAGGATTGCTATGAGTCAGAACTTAATGCACAGCACTTTTAACAACAACAAATTGACGACCTCACAATCTGTTCCTATAAAGATTACAGCCTCAAAAACCCCAGGGGTAAGTCTATTGTCACATGGTGTTGCCATGAGTAGAAATTCAACTTGGCAGCACCCAATAACAACAGCACTGCTACTTAAAGAGCACGAGGTGGTCAGGCATAAGGCCTCTGCCTTGTCACCCTTGAGCTGATGAGATGAAGGTCTAGAAAGCGCTGAAGATTACCTCTTTTGGATAAGGGATGTAGCCAGCGTAAGCCAAGACAAAGGTGCAGAATTTGTTGAAATCCTCCACAGTTCTGCGTCTCTTATAGCTGGGAGAGTACTCCTGGGGAGAGACCAGAAAACATGTGTTTGAAAGCAGACATTTACATGTGAAAGAGCAACACAATTAGCCAAGCTGGAGGTTTTATTGTCAATCACTCAAAAATGCACTAGTAGATTATAAACACACTAAAAACAAGATAAGGTAAGTTCAGGTCAAGAAGTAGCACTGTTTCCAGAAGGCTAAAAAGAGGAGTATTATGATTCAATGCCAAGAATACCGGGAAACTGGATAGGCGATGAAAGCTTGTATAAGTCTGTTTCTCAGCATTCATGTGGCACTTTGTGTTATCTATGTCTCTGCAGTCCTATCTAGAGCTTTTATAACTAAGTTTTTGCTACAGATTTTCCATTTTGAAAATAAGCCCCTGCTGCAGCTGTAAGTTAAGTATTTTAAGTGATTTCAAAACCAACTGTTTCCTACCCTTCAGGGTTTACTCAGGCCTGAGACCCTTTCAGCCTGGAGGCTACTGAGGCCTCCTCTCCTCTTGCCAAGCTCTCTCTTTAAGGACATGTTCTGCTCCCCTCCACCGCTGCAACACCAGGCATTCAAATGTCTCCTGACTCAATGAAGCATCCTTAAGTTTTCCTGTTAAGTCTTATTTGTACCTTTTAGCTGGAATACTAGAGATTTGGGTTTATGTGTCCTGTGCCCCCTCTATCTAGAAACTCCCGTAACAAGAATGTATTTCTCTCTTCCGAGGAATGTAAGATTAAGAGGTAGAAAGAACCCTTATTAGCTACAGAGCAAAACAACTGTGCTTTATTCCGTTTTTCGACATGTCTATTTACTGAGGTTTTCTTTCACCATTTTAGCCCCCCGTTTCCCATCCTTATGGTTTCCCATCCTTATGGTTCAGCTAACACTTCCAGAGTCTTGGAGCCAACCGGCCTGCTGGAGTGAAAAAGTGGTGAAGTGGGGGCTCATGCGGCTGGTCCATCACAGCCCCCCCCTAGAGAAATGTGTTGGGAAGGCGGTCCACAAAGGCAGCGGTTTTCACCCTGTGGCTTCGTTTACTCCAGTGCTGTCCACTCGGGTTAGCACACCTACTCCCCCGCTGCTCTTGCGATCGGACCAAAGGACAGTCGACCAGAGCAGGAACCCCAGCGCTCCCTGCAGAGCCAGCTCCTGCCCCCGCCCCCTGGGGACACGGAGGTCCGGCCCTGTTGGCTGCTTCTGAGGACTAAGCTCGGTCCCAAAACTCTCGGGAAGTTTTATTTCGGCGGCGGAGAACGTGCAAAAGTGCGTTAGAAATCCAAACACGACGTGGTCGGAGACAGAACCTAGACCCGCCGGGGCGGTGCTTGTGGGGAGCCCCGGCGCTGAGGGCTAGAGGGGCTCCGAGCCGCGCCCGCCCTCCATCAGGAAAAGCAGATGGCGGAGCGGGCCCCCGCCCCGCCGCCCGCTCGCGGAAGCCGCTCCCCCGCCGTTTCGGCCCGGAAAGTGCGGGGCCCACCGCAGGGGAAGGGCGGGTGCGGGCGGCCAGCGGGATTGCGGGGTCCCGGGAAGGGGCCATGCGCCGCCCCCGGGTGCGGGCGCGTAGTGAAGGTGGGCGCCGCCTCCCCTTCTCTCCCTGCCCCCCACCTCCGGCCTTCGCATGCTCCCGGTAGAGAGGGCTTCGAGGGTCCGGAGCCCGAACTAAGCCGCAAAAGGGTTGCCGGGTCTAAGGGCCGATCCCCGGAAGGGGTGGGTGGGCTAGCCGGGGCGGAGCGAGCAGGGCCCGCGGGTGGGGGGCGGAGCGTGCCTGGGGGCGGGGGAGTATGGCGTGGGGGGGCAGATGGATGAGGAGTAGGTGGGGGCAATAGGGGGTGGGGCCGCAGCCCCAAGGCCGAGGACCCCCAAGAGCCGCGGGGGCGGGGACGATCTGGCTCCGCGAGAGTCAGGGGGCGGGGCGCGGGTCCTCAGGATTAGGGGCGCCGCGGGGGCCGCGCTGAGCCGATCCCCGCCTGGGGGGGCCGTGCTCCCCTCCGGGAGAAGGGAAGCGGGCTCCTCCCAGACACCGGACTGCGGATCGGCAGTAGCCGGCCGGACCGAGTCCCGGGAATGGAGAGGGGGCAAAACAGGCCGGAGAGGGGGCTGGGAGCACTAACAGGTCCCAGGCTCTGAGACGGAGAGCGGCCACCCTGGGAGGGGACGCAGGCGTCCGGGAAGGGCCGCTGAGACGACGCCGGGGGGAGGACGGGCGCGGGCCGAGCGGGGGGCGGGGGCTGGATTCTGGGGGGCGGCGGAGAAAAGCTGGGGGAGGGGAGGCGGCGCACGACCGACGGGGGTCCGGCCCATGGGGACGCTGGCTAGCGATGGGGACGCCGGAGGCGATCGGGGCGCAGCCCCTACTCACCTCCGGATGGAAGGCAGCAGCGCAGGAGTCAGAGTCCATGTTCGGGGGGGGGTCGGCGACTGCGAGAGTGGAGGAGCCGGGCTGCGGACGCGGACCGCTCGGGGCTGGGGGCTCCAGCAGTCGCGCAAGGCGCAAGGCGAGGGCGTTCCTGAGAGGGTTCGCCCTGGCTAGAGGTGTTAGGGGTTCGGCGTGTCGCGTCCTGGGCTCTGTGCTCCTGGTTGGCGGCTCCACAGACAAGGAGTGTCGGGATGCTGCTCCCGTGGCGGTCGAAGCGGGAGAGTCGCTGCGGGGGGCGGCGGCGGCAGCGAGCGGGAACCAGACCGGCTCCCCGACCTGACGCCCAGTTCGGCTCGTGTCTCGGGAGGGCGGGAGAGCCGCGTGGGTTATCGGGAAATGTAGTCTGTGGACAACTAAAAGCCTTTGGTAAGGGGGCGTGGTTCTGATGTGTGCGCATGGCATTATGGGAGTCGTAGTTCATGTCCCTTGCTGTGGCGCACAAAGCCCTCCTCGAGGACTACAACACCCATAAAGCTGTGCTGTTGCTGTCCGTCCTTGGAGGAGGTGTCATCGGGACTCTAGTGGGCCGAGCGGGGGAGGTGCGGAAGCTCGCTCCGGCTGGGGCGACAGGGGGGAGGGGCGGCGCGAGCTGCAGCGCCTTGTTGCGGGCGGCGGGAGTCCCTGAACGGGTGGGGGCGGGGTCGGCGGCCTCTGTAGCGAAGGGCGGCGGCTGCGGAGGGCACCCTCTGGCACCTCCTCTTTCTCTTCAGTGGCTTGAGGTTCGCGCCCCTTTGTGGACTAGGGTTCCAGAGGCTGGATGGCGGGCGCCAATATATGGGCCGCCGCTCGGCCTTCCCTGTCCGAAGGCGGAGTCGCCGGCCGGCACCGTGAGGGTGTAAACTTGTTTTCGCGTCTGTGGATTTTAACTTCGGCCTCTGCTGGCCGCGGAGTCCACGACCACGGCGGTGCGAGGCCAAGCAGGATTGGGAGGCTTTGAGGTTCTTCTAGCGTTCATTCCCTGGTAGCGTTCCCTTCTGGGTGTCAGGTTACTGCGTTTATAAAAACTCTACCTAGGCTGTCAGTGTTGTGGAAGATGTTTGCTCTAACCCGCTTTTCTTCCCATCACGTTGGGACCCTTCCAGTTTGTTTCATTGAATCATTTTTTAAATATACTTTTCATAGGGTTACAGCAGTTGAGAGCAAGCTGCAAACAGCAGGATAAGCAGTGGTTGGTGTTAACTTTTACTTTGTTCATTGATATTTTAATTGAGGATTTTGTAGTATTTATATGCGGAGCTGCAGAGTACTTTACAACTGTATGTAATGAAGGGTTGGACCCTCAAACACTTGGTTGGACATTAACAGTCCTCATGAATTTACCCAAAAGAACGTTGACATACTTTTATATTTTCAGTACAAGTATGAAAGGAAAAAATCTATATACAAAATGCAGATAATAGAATAACATTATTTGGGTAGTTTTGAAGACAAGTTTTACCAAAGAAGAGTAGCATGCAAGTTTAAAATTAGAAAGCTAACTCCTAGGCATACTTAATCGAAATGGTTGTTAGAACTCATTCAAGACAAGATAGTTGAGTGGCAGTGAATGCTAGATTAGTTGACTGTTGCTATTAAAATGATCAAGAAATTTCTTATGGAAACATCCAGTGGTTGTGACACTAGTTTTATCTTAGTAAATACTTCTAAGCCATAAAGTTTTAAACTTACTGCCTAACTCAATAAATCATAGTTTACTGTGATGGTTGTCGTATTATTTCAATACTGCCATAGCCTGTTGGATGGCTCCTTAGAGGTAAATTGTTGTTGTTAAGTGCTGTCGAGTCGGCTCCGACCCATAGCGACCCTCTAGAGGGTTTCCAAGGAGCGACTGGTGAGCTTGAACCACCAACCTTGCAGTTCAAACTGTGCAGTCTAGCGCATTAACCCACAGCGCCACACCAGGACTCCTAGAGGTAAATAGCTAAAGATTTTAAACTTTTTCTATTTACCTATTTACCCTTTGCTAGAGGTAAAGTGAGGTGGTTACGAATCAGGCTGCGAACCGTAAGGTTAGCAGTTCAAAACTACCAGCTGTTCCGCGAGAGAAAGATGAGGCTTTCTGCTCCCGTAAAGATTTACAGCCTTGGAAACCCTGTACAGGGTCACTATGAGTGGGATCCAACTCCACGGCACATTACAACAACAGAAGTGAATAGCAAAGGGTAAATAGGTAAATAGCAAAAGCTTAAAAAGCTTTAGAATGCTAGTAAAATAAAAACAGACATTGAAAATGTCTTGTCATCACACCATTAACAGTTTCCTACAGAACTGTCATATTCAGGTGCTTTAGCCAGAGTCCTGGAATGCCATTCTGATCATTGTGGTCACAGTAAATGTCATGGGATTAGCTAGCCAGTACTGCCCAGGGTCAGATTCACCATAAGCAACTTATTCTGCCAAAGAAACAGTTAAAGAGGAAATCCTCCTATTGGTAATACAAAGATATAAATAATTATTAGCGATGAAATTATTTTTACAACTAGTCATTATTCCCTAAGGTATAGTTTTGTTTATTGTGGTAGGTATACATGTAACAAGTCATTTGCTTTTCCAGCATATTTCACATGTATATTTCAGTAATATTCATGCAGGAACTAAGCCATATTTCAGTCTGTTGTATACAGATTTATTATGAGTCAGACAGAACCAACTCAACAGTACCTAAGAAAAACAACAACGCTGATGTTTATCATGTTGTTCAACCATTAACATTATCTGTTTTCAAATTTTCCCATCATCCTTAATAAAAGCTCGGTGTCACCTGAGCTTTTATTAAAAAGAATTCTCCTTTTCCTCTACTCACTCACCCCTGTAAACACTAATAAACTTTGGTCTCTGTATACTAGCCTATCCTAGTTATTTCAATATAGATGGAGCCATACAATATTTGTCCCTTAGTTATTTATTTCACTCAGCAAACTGTTTTCAAAATTCATCCGCATTGCAGCATCTATCAGAATTTCGTTTCTCTTTTGTTCTTTGTTGTTAAGTACCTTCAAGTCAGTTCCAACTGGTATAGAGTTTCTGAGGAGCAGCTGGTGGGTTTGAATCACCAAACTTGTAGTTAGCAGTCCAGTGCTTAGCCTACAATGCCACTCCAGGATTCTCTTTATGACTAAGCAATACCCTATTATATAGAATATAAAGAGGTAACACATACTCATTTCTCTGTTGATGAACACAAGTTGTTTCTATCATTTGGTTATTATGAACATTGGTGTACATGTCTGCATCCCTGTTTTCAATTCTTTGGAGCCTATACCTAGGAAGGGAATTGCTGAATCATATAATTCTATGTTTAGCTTTTTTAAGGAACCATCATGTTGGCAGTTCAAATCCACCAGCTGCCCCTCAGAAGCCCTATACAGGGTCGTTATGAGTCAGAATCAACTCAAATGCACTTAACAACAACACACTTCCTCACAGTGGTTGTGCCATTTACAAACCCACCAGCAACTGATAAGGGTTCCAATTTCTCCATATCCTCACCACCTGTTGTTGTCTGGTTTTATTTTTGTATCACAGCCTATGGTATGTATATATTTTTTCACACAATAAATCCTTTTCATCCTACAAACCGATACTCAAACTTCAAATGATAGAAAGCACTTATTCAGAATCATAATGGACTTCATGAAAAACCTGAGCCTAGAATTGAAGGACCTGTCTTGTCCTACTCAGTCTTATTGAAGATGGTAAATCCCAACTTGAGTTGTGTTGAATGATAGGTTTACAAACCTAAGTGGTAGCAACCTGGTCAGAGCAGGTTTTTAATAGCTAGTTTTTGAATAAATTCTTAGATTGAGAATCACTGGTTTGTCTGATGAAAAATATTAACATAAAAATTCTTAGTACACAGATGTGACCAGAATTACATGGTAAACTATACCTGTTGTCCTGTTTGCCACTCCACTGAGACAGAAAATTTCATGGAAAGGCATCATTTTTTGTCTTCCTTTTCTTTCCCTTAGAAATTTGACCCTCTGGAAAGGGTTAGCCTTTAATATTTAACATCCTGTCCTTAGTTACAAAAAGCATTTTAACACCATTGTTGTCTTTAGGTACCAACGAGTCAGTTCTAACCCCTTAAGGACCCTGTATAAGGTTTCTGAGGCTATATAAATCTTTATGAGAGCAGAAAGCCTGATCTTTCTCCCACAGAGCAGCTAGTGGATTTGAACTGCGACCTTGTGTTCACCCTATTTTTTATTAAAACAGTTCTGTGTTTCCCTATAGCATCAGCAGCAGTTCCCACACCTCCAAGTGAATCTATGCACAATACAACAAAGCACTGAGTGCTTCTTCAACAACCTTACAAATGATTATCACACTTGAACCCATTGCTGCTGCTGCTGCTGCTGCTGTACAAATCCATCTCTTTGTACAAGTGTACAAATCCACTTAACCAAGCCTGATGTCCTTCTCTAGGGACTGGTCCCTCCTGATAATATGTCTGAACCCAAATTCATGGCTGTGAATTACTGAAGTTGATTTTCTTTAGATGACAAGGAGCCCTGGTGGTGCAGTGGTTAAGTGCTCGACCACCAGCCAGATGGATGAAGATGTGGTAGTTTACCCCTGTGAAAAGAGTAGTCTTGAAACCCATATGGGGCAGTTCTGTGTCCTACAGAGTCACTATGCTTCAGGATCCACTGGACAGCAAAGGCTTTCTCTATGTGACATGCTACGATTTGTTTCTCTAGTTTATTTCTCTGGTAGACTAAACTAGCCCTGGGCTCCACAGTGAATATAGAATTCCATGATTACTTCAAGAGCATCAGCCCCAGTCCACAGATCCCTAGAATCAGTCTGCATTCTTTGCTTTCTGCATTAAGAAAAGCGATATCTGCTGCTGAATGCTAATTCTGATGATGAGAGCTACTTAGGAAAAAGAAAGAAAAAGCCAACATTAGCACAGGTTGTGACAAGTTTTAAAATACTAAGAATACCATGGTTTCCCAGTAAGTAACTTGAGAATGTAGTTATTTTAATTTGGTTACCAAATATAGCTTCACCTTCCTAAATTTCCCTGAAGGCTATACTACTACATTCATGTGGGAGAACATTCAGGAAAGCTTTCTGCTTCCCATTTTAAAACTGCACTTGAGTGTGGGTGTGAACATGTCCTAAGGTTTCTTTTTTCTGAAATTACTTTCTGGTGTGGCAGCTGTCTATTCGGTGGAACTTCTTAGCTCTTAGTTTTCTGCTTTTACTTTTATTTCCAGAAAAGAAAAATGCAAATTCTTTAGAATCATAATTATTTCCATCTTTGAGTCTCTTTACTACTTTATGAACATATATATGTATTTTTAAACCTTTAATAAATATCCCTTAACTGTGGGTTGTCAACTTTGCATGTAGTGAGGAAAATAATCTATGCATAAAAGAGGCCAGTGAAATTCTTTCATTATGGGTCATGTTGTTGTTGCTGTTAGGTGCCATTGAGTGGGTTCCAAACCATAGTGACCCTTTTGTAAGGTTTCCAAGGAGCAGCTGATGAGCTTGAACCACCGACTTTGTGGTTCAAACCGATTTTGCAGTCCAGCACATTAACCCACAGCACCACACTAGGACTCCATTATGGGTCATTATCGTTGTTAAGTGTCTCGTCAAGTCAGTTCCGATCCATAGGGAACCTGTATAGGGTTTCCAAGGAGCGGCTGGTGAGTCTGAACCACCAACCTTGCAGTTCAAACTAACTTTGCAGTCCAGCACATTAACCCACAGGGCTACACAGAGGTAGAGGAGAATAATAAAAAGATAACAACTAACAAGATGCACCATTTAAATTTTTTTCCTTATATTTCAACGTCATACAATTTGTTGTTAAATGCCACCATCGATTCTGAGTCATAGCAAGACTGCATAGGGTTTCCAAGGAGCAGCTGGTGAGTTTGAACCACCAATCTTGCAGTTCAAACCGACCTTGTGGCCCCGTGCTTTATCCCACAGCACCATACCAGGGCTCCTGGCATAGACTAGTACATTTCATTCATAGAAATTTATATTCCTTAAAAAAAGTTTTTATGTTTTAAGTGTAATAGAACTCCCATTTTGCATAGCCCAGATTGAGAAAAAAATCCACATTGTAGGGTAAAAGGTACATTCTCTTCAGATTATATAAATGCTGACATATCTGTTCTCAGTATTCTCCAAGAGGGGGAAAAGGCTAACAGCAGCTTTTAACTTTATCTCAGTCACCTCTTGTGCTGTCTGTCTGCAGTTAGAACCCAAACACCATTAAAATTAAACAATTTGAATTTTTTAAATTAAATAAGTGCACCTGGACCATCATGGAATTATAATCATTATTTAATCATTATTAGCAAGTTACTTAGGCAAAGACCATTTTCAAGAGGTAAACTTCTAAAGCTTTCATGACTGAAATTGAAATTATAAATAACAGTTTTCCACCCCTAGATTGTTTAGCTAGAGTGAACACCTTCCTCACCCAATGAGAGAGTTTCTGCATTCCCAGTCTTTGAGTTTCAAACAACTTGTTAATCATATATTTGCTGACTATCAATGAACAGAACTGACAGAACTCAGTGAAAAAAATTCTCCAGTTCCCATTTTGAACTCATGAGATTGACTTGCAAAAAGAGGCACTAAATAGCATGCCTGTGTTAGGAGGTTATTCAAAAATTCCATGCACAGCTGATAGATCTAAATCTTTTCCTAGCTGCATTCCTTTGTTGACTTAGATTTACAGTATACAAATGGTTTCAAGAGCTTGTCTGTCAGATCAAGGATATTAATCATATTTTCTCTAGAGAGGTTTTTTGGGTTTTTTTTTTCTTTTCATTTTGTGTTCTTTAATACAAAGGTCATGTTTAGTAGAGAAAAGACAGAAAATGCAGGTAAATAAAATCAATAAAACAAATCTAACCACCTAGAGAAAATGTATATTTCCCAATTTTTTTCAGGCATATGAGCACAAATTACAAATTGGATCATGCTATGTTTAATCTGATTTTTCACTGAACACCATCTAACCTGAACTTTTTTCCATTTCAAGAAATATCGACATCATTAGTCTCCAGGACTAGAACATGAATTATTTAAATAACTCCCCTCTTAGGAACACACAAAAAGAAAGATTGGACTCAACTTCTGTCCACAGTAGCCTACTGATTTGGTCATCCTGTCCACACAGAGTCAGTGAGTTCTGATCTGGAGGGACTAGAGTGCTTTTCCCTACAAACATCCCACTTCCTGGCTGTTCAGACTTTCTTGTCACAAAGCCTGACCAAGTAAGCGATTGGCCGGGCTCCTGGGCCGGGGAATGCTGCCTCTGCCGTTAATAGCTGTGTGAACAGTCCATCTATGGGCAACGGGAGACCGCCGCCGCCGGGTACCTGCCTGTTTTCTTACTTAGGCCTGGGCTTCCCAGGCTGACCCTGAAACTCAGATACATTCTCATGGCATGATGAGAGATTCCCAGGTGGGAGAGAAAAATCCAGAGATCTTTTTTTGAGAGATTCAATAAAAACAAAATGTCTTCTCCAAAAGTTGCTGGATTTAGCTGGAACTAAGAAATGACAGGAGTCCTGGTGTGGCACTGTGGGCTAATGCGCCAGATTGCAAAGCCGTTTGAACGGCAAAGTTGGCGGTTCAAGCTCACCAGCTGCTCTTCCGAAACCCTATACAGGGGCGCCATGGGTCGGAATCTACTCCACGGCACTTAAAGAAATGGCAAGCAGCTCCTGGTCTCAGGGGTCTTGCCCTGGAACACTTGTGAGCTGATCATTGATCCAGAATGTTTATAAAGGTCCACAGGGTGTGGGGAGCTCTGGTAACTAGCAAAACCCCAAACTTCAACTGCAACACAAAGGGGAGGTGAACTTGAGGTCTTTTCCAAAACTGAGCAAGATGCACAGGAAAAAAGGCTTACAAGTAGGTTTTTGGTCTTTTTTCTCCCACATAGTTACTATTGAAAGTGCCTCCTGGCAAATTCCTGTCTTCACCCTCGTGCACAAGTGGCCGTGGCATTTCTGAAATGACCAGCCACATCTCTGGGTGTTCAAACCAGCGGTGTTGATGCTGGGCATCTTGCCTGCCCTTGAGCTGAAGGCTCTGTCCCTGGACCCGCAATGCCCTGCTCATGGAATTGGAAAAGCTGCCTGGGAGGCCAGGAGGACAGGCTTGTCCCTTCTGTAGGGCCGTCCAGGAGCCTCAAAGTCTATGAATGGGAAGCTAAATCGACTCCCTCTAATAACCATATAGTTTAAAATCCTGAAGCAACAGTAGAGTTTCCTGGAATCTGGCCGGTATCATTAATAACTTGTTGTTAAATGCCGTCAAGCCTTTCCGACTCATTGCGACACTGTATAGAGTTTCCGAGTAGTGAGTGGTTGGTGAGCTTGAACCGCCGACCTTGCTGTACAAACCGACTTTGCAGTCCAGAGCATTAACCCACAGCGTAATACCAGGACTCCAATATGAGTAGATGACCAAAGAAAAAGAAAACACCTAAAAATTCATACGTTTGTTCACGCCTTCCTCCTGAATCCTAAGAATCATCCTGTCGTGAGAAATCTGCCAGTTAACAGTCAACCCTTTGGACTAGTAAAACTCGAAGGATAAAAAAGCCATTGTGCCTGGACTCCCGGCGGTCTGGCGCGCGCGGGTTGGCCTCGGAGCCGGGCGCCGAGCTGGAGATCTCATCAGCTTTAGGCCCAGCATCCGGCGGGGGGTGGGCAGGCCTGGAGGCACTTGTCACCCGCTGTCCCCGACCTAGGGCGTCGTCGGAGGCGGCAGGGAGCCCCGGAAGGGTGGAGGGTTGGAGGGGCGCGGGCGAGCCAGTGACTCAGCCTAAACGCGGAGGCGGGGGTGCACAGAGAAGCGAGTCCGGGCGGTTTGGAGTTAAGTGGGCGGTGCCACCAAGACCCCGCCTCCCCGCCCCCGCCGGCGCCCGGCCGTATTTAGCGCCGTGGCGCGGGGCGCGCTGCGTCTCTCCGCAGGCCCTGGCCGCGGTACCCGAGTAGCGCAGGCGCCATGGAGCGGCCGGCGCCCTTAGCTGTGCTGCCTTTCTCAGATCCGGCACACGCCCTGAGCCTTCTGCGCGGCCTAAGCCAGCTCCGCGCCGAGCGCAAGTTTCTGGACGTCACCCTAGAGGCAGCAGGCGGGCGCGACTTCCCGGCGCACCGGGCGGTGCTGGCAGCCGCCAGCCCCTACTTCCGCGCCATGTTCGCCGGGCAGCTGCGTGAGAGCCGCGCAGAGCGGGTGCGACTACACGGCGTGCCGCCTGACATGCTACAGCTGCTGCTAGACTTCAGCTACACTGGCCGCGTGGCGGTGAGCGGCGACAACGCCGAACCATTGCTGCGCGCCGCCGACTTGCTACAGTTCCCGGCCGTGAAGGAGGCGTGCGGTGCCTTCTTGCAGCAGCAGCTCGACCTGGCCAACTGCCTGGACATGCAAGACTTCGCAGAGGCCTTCAGTTGCACTGGGTTGGCTAGCGCCGCGCAGCGCTTTATACTGCGCCACGTGGGCGAGCTGGGCGCCGAGCAGTTGGAGCGGCTGCCCCTGGCGCGACTGCTGCGCTACCTGCGCGACGATGGGCTGTGCGTCCCCAAGGAGGAGGCTGCCTATCAGCTGGCGCTGCGCTGGGTGCGCGCTGACCCGCCGCGCCGCGCCGCGCATTGGCCGCAGCTGCTCGAGGCCGTGCGCCTGCCCTTCGTGCGCCGCTTCTACCTACTGGCGCACGTTGAGGCCGAGCCTCTGGTGGCGCGCTGCCCGCCCTGTCTGCGCCTGCTGCGCGAGGCGCGCGACTTCCAGGCGGCACGCTACGACCGCCACGACCGCGGGCCCTGCCCCCGCATGCGCCCTCGTCCCTCCACCGGTCTCGCCGAGATCCTCGTGCTCGTGGGTGGCTGCGATCAGGACTGTGATGAGCTGGTCACGGTCGACTGCTACAACCCACAGACAGGCCAGTGGCGCTACCTGGCTGAGTTCCCCGACCATCTGGGCGGGGGGTACAGCATCGTGGCGCTCGGCAATGACATCTATGTGACTGGTAAGTGACGGGGACCATCTGAGACCCCAGGCTCCCACCAAGCCGCCGTTGAGACAGATCTCTGGGGTTGGTCTTGGCCGCCTTTGCCCATGGAAGAAGACATTCTAGAGGAGAAACCCACAGAACCTGATCCCCCAGGAATGCACCTGAGTCCAGGCGGCCATTTCTCACTATCCTCCTTAGTTAGATAAGGGAGGCTGGCAGACGCTCCTCGTGACGTTTTTTAGGGCTGATACTTTTTCAGCCGCTAGAAAGGGCCCTTGTGTGAATCAAGACAAGTAAGTGCTTGTGGGTCATCTCTGTTCTCTGTGCAGCTGGGCCCGCCTGGGTGAGCCGGATCCCGACTAGGAGATACTCCCCTATTTACTTGGAAGGTCCTGGGGCATTTATACCACACAATGGGTGCTTTCTTTCTCTCCTTGAGGAATCCAGGGACAGGACCAAGACTGATGCCCTGTGAGACACCCTTCAACCCTGTCACGGGGATTTCTCCCTCTTTCGGGCCACGTAGGCCTCCTGACTCACTGGTTTGTCACTGGTGACCAGGTTCCCTGGGCTAGGTCACCCACACCTAGGAGCTACATTTGTGTCACATGTTGTTTAGGTTGAGCTCCTAAGACTGTAAACACAGTCACATGCTTCTAGGTTTTCTTCCAGTTAGTTGGCCCAAACCCCAAAACACTGCCGAGTCATGGTGGGCGGGCCTCAGCCTGCCCATCCTGGGCTCTCCCACATTTTTTATGAAGGATGAATCCAGCATATGAGGTTGTGTCCCCTGATGCCAGGAGGGCCCTTCTCTGACAGTTTTGTAAGGAAAGAATGTGACCGAGCCAGCCTTTGGTGGCTTTGTTAACAAGCTGGGGAGGTTCAGGGTTGATTGGGGAAGAAATTTCCCTCAGAACAACTATTGGGTTGTTCTAGGGGGCTTTTGGCTGGTCAGGAAGGTGTATCCTGGCTCTCCGGGCACAACTCTGGCCTGAATCTGCCTCTCTTTCCAATTTGAGGTTGATTGGAGACCATGGCCCCTCAAGTCTGACCAGTGTGGCTTTGAGCAGAGAACATGCTCTCAGAACTGGCCAACCTTGCCCCCGCTTTTGTACACCCTTCCATAAATGCCACAGCTGAGCAGCTAATCCTTGGGGTTTAAGCAACCATCCTGATCACTCTACAGCTGCCTATAGGGGATTCAATGGAGGGGAAGAGCAACTGCAGCTGTTTTTGACCCCCTTCTCAATTGGAAGGAGAAAAACAGGCAGAGCAGACTTACAAGGGACTTTGTTCCTTTCAAAGCCCAGGAGGCTAGAAGGCTAGAATGTCCTGGTGCTCTGCCCAGTGGCGCCAGCCTCAGGGAGGAGGGATTCCTGGAGTTGTGGAGATTTTGGTGTCTTGGATAAAAAAAACAGTTGCTGTCAAGTCATGTGTGTTAGACCCTATGTGTGTCAGAGTGGAACTGTGCTCCATAGGTTTTTTAACTTTTTATTGTAAATTATGTGAAGATTTACACAGCAGATTATCCATTGTACATTCAACAAATCACACACTTCATTTCTTTTCAGTGGTTCTTGTCCTCTCCATGTAACATCACTTAGCCCACTGTTGTTTCTTTAGGTAAATGTTGTCTTTTTGATCTTTGTTGGCTGACCATTCCATGATGTGCATACCCCATTAGTGTTGTTGTTGTTGTACCTCCTCTCCCCTCACCCCATAGACCTGTATATTGCTTGGCTGAAAATCCAACCACAAGGGTCCCTAGGTTTTTGTTGTTAAGTGACAGCGACCCTGTACAGGCTTTCCAGTTAACAGTTCAGTGCTTATTCTACAGTGCCACACCAGAACTCCTGAAATGTTTTTGTTTTTATTGTGAATTGAGTGATAGTTTACTTGGGAGAGCATTAGCTTTACATTCATCCTTCTCCTCATAGGTTTGTTTTTTTTTAGTTTTTATTGTGAATTAATGTGACAGTTTACATGGGATAACATTAGCTTTACATTCATCCTGTCATATATCGTTTCATTGCCACGATTACAATCCCCACCATGCAGCATCAAATAACCAAAGGGTACACCCCACAAGCCTGCCCCTGGGCCGCCAGCACATAGCCCCTCTCCCTCTCTGGGTCTAGAGGCCCTAGCCACTCCATCTCTCCACGTCATCGTCTCTCCCTCCATCTCTGACGTCACTGTCACTGTGTCTCTGGATAGGGTCCTACAGTCTGCTCTTCTCCTTTGATGGTCCCAGGGACCTCCGCTCCTGGACTACAAAGTCAAGGACTCTTCTCCTTTTGCTACAAAATGTCTACCTTTACATTTCCAAGCCTCACAGTCAGTCCTGATAGCAATTATTCACTATTGTACGACAAGAGTACTATCCCTATCTCTCCTCATAGGTTCTTGGGGTTTTGTTCTCCTCATAGGTTTTAGTGGACAATTTTGTTGTTGTTTTGAAGTAGGCTGTCAGGTTTCTTTTCTATGGTGCCTCTGGCCAGACGATCAAGTCCAACTTTTTGGTTAGTGGTGAGTGCAGTAGTTATTTGCATAACTGTGGGACTCTAGTGTTCTAAGTAGACCTCAGATTTTCCTTTATGATATACCCAGCACCATTTTTTAAGCTCTTTATTGAAATAAAACGGAGCCCTGGTGGCACAGTGGTTAAGCAGGGTGCTGTTTTAGAAGGTGGACTTTGGTCCTGGCCAGTGGTCAGTTTATATATCTGCTTAGCCCCAGCTTGAGGTACTGGGCTGGGCAGGGGAAGAGAGGACGGGACTTGGGCACATGTTGAGTTTGAAGCATAGTGAGGTTAGTTACTCCCCGGGATGAGGCCCCACAGAAGTTGTGGAAAGTTTGGAGTAGGCTGACCGTCTCCATTGTGTGCCTGGCAGGTGGGTCCGACGGCTCAAGGCTCTACGACTGTGTGTGGAGGTATAACTCAAGCGTGAACGAGTGGACAGAGGTGGCGCCCATGCTGAAGGCCCGCGAGTACCACAGCTCCTCAGTGCTGGATGGGCTTCTTTACGTGGTGGCAGCAGATAGCACAGAGCGCTACGACCACACTGCTGACTCCTGGGAGGCCTTGCAGCCCATGACCTACCCCATGGACAACTGCTCCACCACTGCCTGCCGTGGCAGGCTCTACGCCATTGGCTCCCTGGCTGGCAAGGAGACCATGGTCATTCAGTGCTATCACCCAGACACAGACCTGTGGTCCCTGGTGGACTGCGGACAGCTCCCACCCTGGTCCTTTTCCCCCAAGACTGTGACGCTGAATGGACTCATGTACTTTATCAGGTGAGTCCCCAGGTGCCAGCCTGCTGTCTGCCCAGCAATGACACAAGGCCATCACCACTGTTCTCCCCAAAAGAGACTGAGGGGAAGCTGGATTCAAGTCCAGGACTTGTGGCTCCAAAGCATTCCTTCCCCGCATTTCTTAGAGCAGTTTCTATGGGCTTCCGGGTGATGTGGGTCAAGTGATGCCAAATGTATGAAAGTTAGGTGCTTTCAGAGAACTTTCTCAAGGTCCATAGAAGCCAAATAAAACTCTCCCTCTTTGCTGGATTTTCACCTGGAGGATCCTGTTAAGAGCCCTGCTTGTTTTCTCACATGACATTTGTTGCAAAGGACCTAGAAGGGAATTGGAATTAGAAAAAGATTGGAGAAGACTTTGAGTCTGAGGAGGTGTTGCCTTGTCCTATCACCTCTCCCCAACATGCAAAGCTGAGGGTCTGTGGTCAGGAAGGTGGGGGACCAGCTCCCACCGCTACTGTATGAAGCACACTTGTGTCAGGAGCCTGGATGGCACAAGTGATTTGTGCTCGGCTACTAACATAACAGTTGGTGGTTCAAATCCACCCATGGTTCAGTGGAAGAGAGGCTTGGCAAATTGCTTCTGTAAAGATCCCAACCAGGAAAACCCTTTGGGGCCGTTCTCTGTAGCATATGGAGTTGCCAGGAGTCAGGGAACTGATTCCATGCAGTGGGTTTAGGTTTTTGCTTTTTTGCATATTGAGCCTTTCCAGCGGGTTCTGTCCTAGCGCCAGATGGCAGTCCCACTCATTTCCCCTCGGACGGATTGCCTGACTGGGCCTCCCATTCAGGGTATTCGTCAGTCTTTGAGCCACTAAGAGTATTATTCTCCAGGGGACCCCTAACTTCTCTGGACCGGGGAGGGGCTTAGTATTGAGTAGCTCCAGAGCCTCTGGGGAATGAGGAGGATGTTAGCGTGTGCCAAGCCACGTGTATGGACATGGGCGAGCTTTGTGCTGCTGCCCTCTGCCTTTGTGTGTGTGTGTCCAGTGTGCTCACCACAGCTCCAGTGAGCTGGACAGTACTCTTGCCTCCTTGCAGAGATGGCAAAACAAGCCAAGGGGGATAGAGGGACTTGTTGACAGGCACAGACTTGGAACAGTGGAGCAGGTTTGTACCAAGGATGTTTCCTACTCAGATCCTCACCACAGGGCTAGGCAGGAGACAGCATGGAGTGAGTGGTGGCAGCTGCTATCTATCTGGTCGTAGTCAAGTGCCCTCTCCAGCGGGGATCCAGGAGGGAGCTAGGAGCTCCCTGCCCGCTATATACAGCTTCTGTGTGTGTGTGTGTGTGTGTGTGTTTTGCATACATACCTGCTGCTCCCCTCCCTGGCACAGAGCCTACTGAAGCTCTGGGACCCAGGAGGGGAGGGTATGAATGACCATCTCCTGTGCCATCCTTTTCAACTGGCCTTTGAATTGGACCTCAGTGGAGGCATACTCTTTGATCTGGGCCCCCCTCCTGTCAATCTGAGCCGCACCGGTCTGCTGAGGCTCCTTCCAAGGAGCAAACTGAGCTTTTCAGGGTGAGCAAACCCCATTGGGGACAACTGTGGGGTTGCTTGTCACGCAAGTGACTGAGAGGCTTGCTGTTGCTTGTGCCAGGAGCCTCTGATCTGCTCCAAGAAAGCCCTGGCATCTTAGGCAAGTCCTGAGGCTGTTATAAAACAGTCTCTGACCCTTCGCCTGCTCTCCCTCCAGAGCCGAGGTAGGTGTCCTCAAAGAGGGGGGGATGGGGATGCTATAAATACAGCTTATCAGCCAGCGTGCCAGGGCCTTCACCCCAGCCCCTCACTGGCAGTTCTAAGACAGGTGTCTCTGAGAATGTCCTCCTTGTCCTGAGGTCCTGGAGCAAGACCGCTCTGTCCATGTCAGACACAACTGCTTCCTGGTCTGTGTCATCTGTCAGCTGCTCAGGCATCCCTTATGGAAGCCTTAGGGTATACCTCACCCTTGGGGAGTTGAGGGGAGGTGGATCTCAGCGTCTGCCCTGGTGGTGGTGACCTGGTCCAGCCTCCCCTAGTAGCAGCAGGACTGCAGACCACAGCATTCCCTAGGTGAAGAATGGAGGCCTGGCCTGACCGAAATGGAGGTTAACTGAGTGGCAGAGAGTGGCTCCTGAGAACCAGGACAGGGCCTGGGTCTGGATCTGTGATATTTAAGTGTTGGTGCAGGAAGCAGGTGACGCCTGGCCCAGAGTCCACTTGTCTCTAGGCACATTTTTCCAGAAGGCGCTGTCCCCAAGGAGGCCACTCATGACCATTGAAGGGGGGTACTGCTGCCCTGGGCTCTGGATAGGGACCAAGTGGTTCCTCCCCCACAAGCAATGCCCCCATCTTGGCTCCATGAGAGATAGTGCCTTGGCCAGGATACACCAGGTGCAGCTGATGAAAGAGCCTGGTTGCAGCTTGTGAATCTTTGCTGGGGTGAGTAGGAGACGTGGGAAAGACAGTCTAGTAGATTCCACTGTTTAATTATCATCTTGGTATGCCCCAGGAACATAAATATTTTAACGTGCAAATATTGTACATGTTAAAATATTTAGAAGGAATATCAAAAAGAAGAATGTGGTTTCATAACCTGGGAAGATTATAGGATATTCAGATATCTGTGTCCCTAAGTCAAGACTTGTTGTGACCTAGACAGCCCGTGTGTTTATGTATTATTTGCAGCTGCTTTTTTAACACGGCTACAAAGCTGAGTAGATGAGACAGAGACCATCTGGTCCAAAGAGCCAAAAATATTTTCAGTCCGGCCTTTCTGAAAATGTTTGCTGACCCTTTATGTTAGTTTTCTAAACAACAGGAAGTTACTGTCTGATAGTTCTGGAGGGTGGGAGTCTGCAGTCAACATGGCAGCAGGGCAAGCTCACTGAAGTGGGTCCATCTTTACCTTTCTCCTAGCTTCTGTTGGCTCCCAGCAATCCTGAGGTTCTTTGGTTTGTAGATACATCATTCCAGTTTCTGCCTTTGTTTTCATGTGGCGGTCGTCTGTTGTTGTTGTTATGTGCCGTGGAGTCGGTTCTGCCTTATAGCGACCCTGTACAGGGTTTCCGAGGCTGTAAATTTTTACGGGAGCAGAAAGCCTCCTCTCTCTCCCGCGGAACAGCTGGTAGTTTCGAACTGCTGACCTTGCGGTTCGCAGCCCGTTTCCTTACCACTACGCTACCAGAGCTCCATAGTCCTCTACTTCTCTTAAAAAACATCAGTCACATATTGAATCTAGGGCCCACCCTGGTCCAGTATGACCAGATAATTAACACAGTTAATCTGCAAAGACTCTGTTTCTAAATAGTCATGTTCATAAGTATTGGAACTAGAACATCAACCTATTTTTTTGGGGACCACAACCTAACCCATAACACTCCAGACTTATGAACATTATTATTATAATTCGTCTATTACTTTTTTTTTTAAAGTAGTGTCTTTACTGTTCATGAAAACGCTGTACATTTGAGCCTTTTAGTACAATGGGAAAAAAACAAACCCAATACCATCAAGTCGGGTCCAACTCATGTCGACCCTGTATAGGATTTCCGAGGCTGTAAATCTTTACAGAAGCAGAAAGCGTCATCTTTTCCCTGTGGAGCAGCTGGTGGGTTTGAACTGCTGGCCTTGAAGTTAACAATCCAATAATTATCCTATAGCACCCCCAAGGAGGGGATCAGACAGACTGCAGGAGCCTGACCTTAAAGTGCAGGACATTGCTGGTCTCTTTTATTTGTGTAACCAAGGGTACAGCAGTGAGCCAGGCAGGCATTGGGCTCGTGGTAATGTAAAGGGCAGTGGCTGAGGAATGGTCCAGGGTACGTGGGGGTGTGTATTATGGAGGGGAAGCCTGATGTGGACTGGTCAGCCACAGATGGTTCCCTTAAAAGGAGACGAGCCAGAATGGGAAGGGTGGGTAAGAGACTGGGAGGCGCAGGGGCAAAAAGAGAGATTTGTTTGGAAACCTGAGGTGGAACAGAATGTGCCAAGTCCAAGCATGACCAGTGCTGGATGGTAGAGTCCCCCAAAGGTGTAAATACTAAGAGATGTGTCCTTTAGGTGCAGGTTAGGGCTGGCATGGATACCTGGAGGGTGCCTGAGAAGCAGAATATGGTCCTGCCCAGCCAGCGAGGCTGCCAGCTGGCATCAAAGAAACCAGCTGGCTGGAGGGAGCTGAGGTCTGAAGACCCCACAGGAGGGGGGTAGTCAATGCAGTTCTGCCCCCCTCGTTCTTCCTCCCCACCCTGACCAGCTGCTTCCTTGCCTCTTCCACAGGGACGACTCCGCTGAGGTGGACGTCTATAACCCAGTGAAGAATGAGTGGGACAAGATCCCGTCTATGAATCAGGTGAGTCCCGACGGACCGCGCGGGACATAGAAGCCAGATGTGTTTTTTCGGCTTAAGTACAGTAATTGTTTGGTAGAGTGGTGGTGGGCATGGCCCTGTGTTGGCGCCTGTAGCAGATTTTCTCACACATAACAGAGGGGGCTTTGTTCAGGAATTGTTCTCCCTCAGAGGCTGGTTAGTTAGAAGTGTGCCCTTGCAGTTGGCCACCCAACACTTAACCCACAGCACCACCAGGTTTCCTAGCTAAGGCACAGAGAAGTTACTAAGATCCCAGGCCCACACAGCTCAGAGTTCATCTGATCAACCACTGCTCACTGAACCCCTTTGGGCAGGCACTGCTCTAGGCACTGGAGATTCAGCAGAGTCAGACAGGCCCCCATGGGACTAACACCATGCTGGGAGATGACAGTGGTCTGTAGTCAAATGCCCCATCTGGCATCTGTGTAAGTACCTGGGGAGGGACCAGCGGCACTGAGGTAAGGAGGGGAGTAGACTTTAGGCCTCCCTGCTAAGTTGACTTTTGAACAGAGGCCAGAAAGATATGCAGGAGTGAACCATGCACTTCCTGGGGGGGTGAGTGTCCCCAAGGAGGCCACTCATGACCATTGAAGCGGGGGACTGCTGCCCTGGGCTCTGGACAGGGACCAAGTGGTTCCTCCCCCACAAGCAATGCCCCCATCTTGGCTCCATGAGAGATAGTGCACATGAGAGATATAGCACAGGGCCTATGGTGGGTATCCTGGTGTGTGCCCAGACCAGCCAGAGTGGCTGAGTGAACAGCAGATAACAGAAATGAGGTCAGACAGTAGGTCTCTGGGGACTGACCCACTCTCACTGCTCCCATTCCTCGGACTGATTTTGGGCATGCATGTATTGAGTGCCTGCTGTATGCTCTGAAGCAGGATGCTCAAACAGCTGCAGAGAAGGCTGCTTGTTGGAAGGGAGCTCTGCCCGAGCCTGAGTGGGTAATGATGCCTGGAAGGCTTGGCCACACATCTAATCCCCAAACTACATCTGTGCCAGGGTGCCTAGGCCCTTTTCTATCTTACTTAAAATTCCCAAACCGCTTATTATGAGACCTCTACTCTGAGTCCTGGTGTGGCACTATGGGTTAATGTGCCAGACTGCAAAGCCGTTTGAACTGCAAGGTTGGCGGTTCAAGCTCACCAGCTGCTCCTCGGAAACCCTCTACAGGGTCGCTATGGGTCAGAACCGACTCGACGGCACCTCACAACAACACAACAACTCCCCTCCCCACTCCAGTGTTCCTGGTCCCTCCCCGAACACTTACAGCAGATGTCAGATGGGGCATTAGAGTATTAACCCCTTGTGTTCCCCCCGTGAGGGCCAGGGCTCCTGCTGCATTCTGGACTCTACTGCGTCCCAGTGCCTAGAACAGTGCCTGTCCGGAGGGCTTCAGGGCTTTAGTGAGCAGTGGTTGGACAGATGAACTCTGAGCTGCGTGGGCCTGGGATCTTAGTAACTCCTCTGTGCCTTAGCTAGGAACCCTGGTGGCACTGTGGGTTGGGTCACAAATTTTATGATGTCATGGCATAACGTTTTCTGTACATTTGACATCTGTAATGTTCTTGTTTCCCCCACAGTGGGCTACACATACTCACTGTGGCAGATTTGGGAAAGGTAGACTAGACCCCGGACTTTGGGGTCACACCCCAGCTCTGCCTCTGTCAGCCCTGCAAGCCTCAGTTTCCCCGTCTGTAAGGTGGGAAGAGCAGTAGTACACAACTGGCGGGTAGTTGCAGAGGTCACTCAAGATGATCTCTTGTGTGAGTTTCAGGCAGTGTCCATAGGGGCTGCCCTGACAGCAGAGAGAAGGATTGCTTGCCAGTCCCAACATGGTGCTTAACCTCCAGAAAGCCCTCTGTTTTCCTAGCCAGGTGAAGGCAGGACGTTGGCCTGCCCTAGCTGGGTGTCTCTGAGAAGTCTGCACAGGAGGGCTCCCAGTCTTGCTTCTGGAAAGTGCTGTAGGCCCAGCCTGGGTGGGAGCTCTGCCCTGCTCTGGTTCCAGCCTCCTCTCACCTGTCCCCTTTGACCCACAGGTGCATGTCGGGGGCAGCCTGGCTGTCCTGGGTGGGAAGCTGTACGTCTCTGGCGGCTACGACAACACATTTGAACTCTCGGATGTAGTGGAAGCATATGACCCAGAGACCCGTGCATGGAGTGTGGTAGGGCGGCTCCCAGAGCCCACCTTCTGGCATGGCAGCGTCAGCATCTTCCGTCAGTTCATGCCCCAGATGTCCTCAGGCGGGCGAGGCTTTGAGCTGGACAGTGGCGGTCACGAGATGAACTCGGGTCAGCGTCAGCTGCCACAGAACCTGAATGGGCTGCACTAGCCCCGGCCTGGCCCAGGGAGGGCCTTGGCACAGGTGATCCGGCACCTGTGTATGAGGAAGGGTAGTGACCTTCCTTTGTACGCGGGGACAGACTGGGCTCCCAGGTGGTGTGTGGCTTCCAGGATTCACCACCTGGAAAGTTGTCGTGCATTTGGAGGCCATTGTCATGGCTGCTGGAGCTAAAGCCGGTCACAGATAACCCTCCCTTGGTCGCAAAAAAGCCACTCGTCAGCACATGTCTCTGACTCCCACCTGCAAGTCCCTAGCTCACCAGTGCAGCACACACCCCTGTAACTGTTGCCAGTGGTGCCTATTTGCTCCTACCTAAGGAGATGAGGGACAGGTGGGAGAGCCCCCTGAGGAGCCTGAGAATGTAACCTAGACCTACCTAGACCTGGAGTACTGGGGTCAGTATGTGACTTCCCAATGCAATGGCCAGTGCTGGCCTTCCCAAAGGGCCAGGCCCCCAGACAGAGGAGGATCCACCTGTATAGTCCCTCCCCGTTGCTAGGTTTTCCCACCAATCCCTTATCACAGGGGTGAGGCCTGTACAGGTAAGTGCAATGTGATGGGACTGTGGACAGACATCTGTGTGTGTCCAGAGCGCATGTGTAGCTGAGGCTGGGTCTCTCACCCACCCCGCTAGCTGCTACGGAAGCCTCTACTGGGCCTGTATCCAGGTTGATGAAGAGGAGTCATATTCAAGTGCAAGGTTGTTGCCCTCTTTGGGAGGCCCTTGGAGTCTCACAGAGCGCAACCCAACAAATGAATGGACATTTGTATGTGGCTCCTGGGGCCCTGTCCTGGTCCTCACTGTGCCTACCAATGGAGAATCCATTGTCTGGATGAGGGAGCCTGGCAGGGGCTCCATTGATGCCTGACACTAGGGTTTACAATGCCTGAAGTCCAACCCTTCCTTAAAGAGTTGGAGGAGTGAGCTAGGAACAGGATTGCGTTTGTTTGATTTTTTTAAGTCTATCAAAGTGCCATTTTGCCCAAGTTTTCTTTGGGGTGATTTGAGGTTTCGCAGAAGCTCAGGACCAGATCGGAAGTAGAGGGCAGGAGGAGTCTCCAGGAAACTTCAGGGTCCTCAAGATGCCCGGAGTAGCATTTGATTAAATCTGTCCTTCCTTCCTTCGTCTGCGCCAGATGGATTCCTCATTAATTGAACAGAAGTCTTTTCCCAGTGACTTGACTTTTGGAGCTATCTTCTCACTAGGAGACAAACATTGAGTTTCAGGACGCTCACGTAACAAACTGTACTGTGCCCCTTTTGTTAGGGGTGGTGCATGGTCCCAGGAAAACCCTTGTTGCCTGAGTTTCTCCTAGGATCTCTAGAGGAAGTCCCAGTTGGGACAGCTGCCTGCCTTCTCTTACATGTTCCGGAGGAGGCTCTTGTCATACTGCCATTCAGTTCATGGTGCCTGAAATGAGGGCTGCTGGCCAAGGCTAAGCCAGCCACCACTCCGACCTGCTTTCCCCACAGTGTCACTCTGTCATTGCTGAACTTCTGTGTATCTGGCATGATGAGGAGGGCTAGGGTAGGGGGAGAAAGTACCCTCTGAGGGTATCTGCTGGGCCAGGTCCCACACAGGGACTCCTGTTAGTAGCATGGAATTCGATCTGGATCAGACCCCTCTAGCCAAGGTTCTGTATACCCCAAGCCTGTGTCTGGGCTTGGATGTTGGGTCCTCTGCTTCCTGGGGAACCCTCCAGTTCAAACCTCAGGTTCAAGTCTGAATTCCTGGGTGGGTCAGGTCTCAGCCCAAGATGGTCGGCTCCCTCAGTGCTTACTTCATGTCAGGACTGCATGGATCTTTCTTGATCCCAATGCCTACCCAGCAAGCTGTCCACACACTGGGGCTGGGAGACCACTTGCAGGCTCTGCCACCTGTATTGGTCAGATCCAGAATCTATGCCAAGCACAGTGCTTGGTGCAGAAAAACTTCCCTTGGCTCTCTGATAGCTAATAGATCAAGGTCATTTCTGGGAGGTGGGGCTGGGAGGTTTCCCAAGAGAGAGCTATTGGTCTCAATCATGTGGAAAGGGCCCCCTGTGCCCCTCAGAGCCTCTCTGCTAGAGGCCTCTCAGTACTCTGAGAAGGCCCAGCAGGGCGTGTACTACACTTGGAGTTATTTCAACTTCTTCCGAATAGGGCAGATGGTGACGCTACAGAAATCAAGTACTTTCCAAAGGCCAATTTAAGGAGTGGGGTGTGGTATAAAGTAAAGCTGTTGTGCTGGAACAAACCCCAAACCCACGTCATCCAGTGGAGTCCAGCTCACAGTGACCCTGTAAGACAAGTTCTCTATGGGGTGTCCGAGACTATAAATCTTTACCAAAGGAGACTGCCTCATCTTTCTCTAGTGAAGCAGCTGGTGCATTGAGTTTATTAACAAGTAGCTCAATTTTAACCTCCGGCTTCACCAGGGTTTCTTTGGGCCTACACAAAGGGGGCTTCAAATGCTTTCTTGATCCCATTTTTCTTTCTAGCCCACACATGGTTGCATTCAGGCTCCAAGAGCCAAGTCTAGGCTGGTGGGGTGTTTTGGGTTTCAGGTGCCCATTGGACGGTCCCTTGGGAAAGCTTCCTGGTGGGGAGGGGCTGGGTTGGACTACAGTGCAGTCAGTGGCCTTGTACCCCCACTCCTGCAGACCACCATTTACCACACAGTGTTGTGTGGCTGCTCTTGTCATTAGATGGTTTGGGTGTGGGCCAGTGAGGACTGGGATTGTGGGTTTGGTTTGTGTTCCTCTGCTGTGTCTGCTCACCAGAACTGCCCACATGTCTTCAGCATCTTGCTCTGGATTCTAAGCTGTAGAGTCCCTGCTTTCAGGATGTCTGTACACTGAGCTTGGGACAGATACCGAGCTGGCTGGGAATGTGGTTATGTCCGAGTTGTGTGTACAGAATTTTATCCGTCTACAAGACAAATTAAATTATGAAGATCCAGTGACTAGTATTTAATGGTTATCTATCTAAGAATTCTGTACATATATGGTTGCAGAAATTCTTACATTATGAAGAGGCACCCCTCCCTCCAGTATTCACATCAGATTCCACCCCAGAGTGGGGCAGATTTGTGTATTTATTTTGTCCTGTAGGCTTACATGTCCAGAATACTGTGTATGGTTGAAAGATGCCTTCAAGCATTTTAAAATAAAAGTACTTCCTGTACATCTGATGTCTTTGTGTCATTGCCTTTATCCCTGTGCAGGAGATCATGTGGGATGAGGTCACACATGGAGGGGAAGAGTAGAGAATTAGGAGCAGTATACAAGGTGCCCTGCTGACAGATTGAGCAAGGCTCATGCTTTCTGAAGTGACATGGGTCCTTTCAGTCTCAGATTTTACAAGGTATGCAGTAGTGGAGAAAGGAGACCCATGCCCAGGACACATTGAGGGAGGCATGTGGCTTTATCCTTGTAACTTCCGAGTGGGGAAGCTGCTACTTCACTTGGCCGTCAGGACCCAGCTGGCTTCAGAGTCCTCCCTTAGCCACCTGCCCTGGCCCCTCTTCCTAAAGCTGTATGCAGAATGGGGATGAGCCCTCCACAGCAGAATGAATCCTGACCCTGGCAGGTGGAGTGCTTAAAATGGAAGGCCCCCAGAACAAGCCGGGTTCACAGGCACCACCAAAGTTAGAAATGCTTTCCACATCCTCTCTGAGCAAGGCCAAGGGAGAGCCGAAACCAAGCCTGCAAGTGTCTTGAGGCTACAGTTTGTTTTAACACCCTTCTCAAGATAGAGCTGAAGCAACTTATAGAAACCTGGGACATCAATTACTGCAGGCGAATGCTGTCTTTGAGCTTCCAATGATCTGAAATAGAAAATACAAATCCTATACAGGGCCATGGTGAGTAGGAACCGACTAGACGGCACTCAACAACAGCAGCCTCAAGCTCCAGGAGGAATCTAACATGGAGGCGAAGTTTCCAGAAGCCACTAGTGATACATTTATGTTCCAGGCTCTGCAGCTGTTGGGGTCATGGCCGCCACTACTGCTGAATGAGTTTACTCATTCACCCAAGCCAAGCACTGCCCTCAGCACTGACTGCCCTCAGCACTCATATCCACTCCCATCCAGTGAGGGGGCCTACGTCCCCTCCCCTTTGAATGCAAGAAGTGACTTTTTGGTGACTGATTGTCTTGAGACCTGATGTGGTGCTATGGGATAAGCACTGGACTGTACACTGCAGGGTCAGCGGTTCAAAGGTACCAGCAATTCCTTGGAAACCGAAACCTTGACTGACAGCACATGGCAGAGGTAATTATACACAACTCCAGAGGCTGGACCATTCCAGGGCTTAATAGACTTGACCTTCTCTGGGGTCCTGGCCTCCAAGCCCTGCCAGTCCAGGCTGAGGTCCCACCGACAACCAGCACCTTGACAGCTGCTCAGCCCGTGACCTTCGGGATGATCTTTGATCTAGCAGTAGATAACTTACACAGTGGGTTTTCTCATTTCTTCCTTGTCTGTGAAAACGTGCCCATTAAAACATGAGGAAATGGAAACAAGGAGCATAGTAACTTGCAGAGCACGAGGAAGGGATTTATTTAGGCACAAGGGCTCTGCCTCCAGCACCCATGCACTTTCCCTCAATGCCATGTGGCACCCACAGCTCCCTGTGGCTGCAGAACTTGCAGCCTGGGGTGGCAACCAGAGTCCCCAAGGCCTCTCCCTATCCTCAGCCTGGCCTTCCTAGCCACAGCAACAAGCTAACTAGGACCTCCTCAAGGAGGAAGGCCACCTCTGGTGTGCTTGCCTGGGTTCAGAGATCAGCGCTCTGCAGACCCCAGCCCCATCAGACTACACTACCGGGGCCTGAGTCTTAACTAGCCTACTTACCACCAGGGTCCCTGGCCACTGCTTTAGTTAGTGGTGATGTCCACCCACGGGGCTGTCACCACCTCAACTGTAATAAAACAGCAACACTCTTGCTGTATCTGGCTAATGCTCCCAGTTTTAAAGTTCTGAGGGATGAGGGAGAAAACACAGATGATGTAAGAGGGTCTAGGGTCAGAGGCTCTCAACAGGTGGCGGGGGCACCACTCAGCTCTGCTCTAGAAGGGTTGAGCAAGTCTGTTTCTCCTTAAGGGTACTGGGGGGTGGCGCACATCACTGGAGCCCCTGATCCAGAGAAAGGACTACTGGCTATGCTGGAACCCCGAGTCCAAAGCCATATGGTTTATTGGGGGCTGGGGCCACAGTCCTCAGGGATGGTGGCTGTGATGATGAGTGAGGGTCCCATAACACCTGAGCCAGTGAAGTTCTCATCTGTACACAGTCTCTGGCCAGGGAGCTGGGACGCCAGGCTGCCCTGGCTCAGAGACTCCACGATCACCTCCGCAGAGCCCACCTCTAGCTCGGCAGGTGGCTGGAGCGCTACTACCACCACCTTCTCGTCCTCAATGATCAGGTTCCGCAGCTTGCGCTGCCGTGGATTGTAGTTCTCTACGCGGTCGTGGATCTCCATGTGTCTCCGCAGGTGGGCCTGATATGGAGGGAGGGGGGGCTCAGGACTAGAGAAGGGGGCCTGAGGTCGGAGGAAGGAGAAGCTCCGGACTAGGGGAGGGGGCCCAGGGTAGGAGGACTGGAAAACCTACCTGCCGAGTGAACTTGTAGCCACACTCAGTACACTCGAACTTCCTCACTCCTTTGTGCCTCCTGACATGCACGCGTAGCTGCTCCACAGCTGCGGGAGGGACAATGGCATGAGGAACCTCCAGGAGACGTGGGAGGGAGGCCATGATCATGCCCTGAAGATGGGAGACTGGGAGCCCCGGGGGTCCATGGGGAAATAGGCAGAGAGCAAGAAGGCTGAGCAGTTCCCAGCAGTTTCTGCCAGGACTCCATAGCATCACCCTGAGGCCAACACTGTTCTAACTGAACAGCTTGGCTCTCCTCAGCTCAGCTCAGTCATGGGGATAGGAAACCCCACCAGCAGAAAGATTCTGCTGCAGAGAATGAGCATCTAAAAACCACTGGTGTGCTTGGTCTCTCCCCTGGAAGCTCTCCACCTTATGGCAGCAGAAAATGCAGGTGACCCAGACCTTGCCCAGGGAAAGGCAATGGTTTCCTGCCAACCCAGTACCTTTGAAGGTCTTCCCACAGATCTGGCAGAAGTGGGGTCGGCCTTCCTGGTGGCGACTGGCAACGTGCCTCAGGAGGGGCCCCTTCTCGGTGAAGCGCTGCTCACAGAACTCGCAGCTGAAGGGCCTCTCGCCGGTGTGGGTGCGGTTGTGCTTGTCCAGGCTGGCTGTGAGCACAAAGGAGAGCTTAGCTGCCAGGCCTGGCCCTAGGGCAGGGGTTGAGAGGGTACAGGACCTGCCTCACCTTGGGTTCGGAAGGTCTTGCCACAGAGGTGGCACTGAAAGGGCTTCTCGCCTGTGTGCGTGCGCAGGTGCATGTTGAGGTTGGCCTTCTGGGTGAAGGCATGACTACAGAACTCACAGACGTATGGCCTCTCATTCCTGTCCAGGCGAGGTGGGGGGACACAGGGCAGAGGCATCACTGAGGGAAGCTGCCCTTTTCACCTCCACTGCAGCTGAGAGCACACCTAGGCACAAAGCCAAAGACACAGGGCAAGGCCAAAACAAGACTGCTGTGCCCTGAGTGAAAGGAAACGCCTGTGGGGTATACCTGGGAGTAACAGGGCACAGGCAAGCCAGGGCTCACCAGGTGCCACCAAGGACCAAGAATTTGCCCAGAGTCCAGAAACCCCTCTCCAATCTTTGCGCCTGACAAACCCTTGCCCACCCCAGATCTGGGGCAGGGGCATGGTCTCATCCCAGGTGAATGTCCAGGGAAAAGACTGGTGTCCGCACCTGTGCTTGGCCTTAATGTGCATCTGCAGGCCATTGCGGCTGGAGGCCCGGTGCCCACACTCCTCGCACACGAATAACTTTTCACCGCGGTGCTTGAAGGCCTCGTGCAACTGCAGCTCCGTCCGAGACAAGAAGCACTTGGCACAGGTGGGGCACTGTGGGGCAGAGGAGCCAGAGCTGAGGTGAGGGCAGACAGGCTGCTGGAAGCACCAAATCCCCCTCCGCCGCCCAGCCAGTTGGCCATTCTGGACACCATTCCAGCCACTTCACACCTGCGGCTCTGGCATCAGAGCGAGCACGGTCGCAAACAGCACTTACAGCATGGGGCTTGGGAGCTCCATGTAGCTTGATCATGTGGCTCTGTAAGTCTTTCTTCTGCATGAACTGCTGGGAGCAGGAAGAACACTGGAAAACAGTTCCTCAGTCACCTCAGGGCGCTGACAGAAACCTGGCCATACCGGGCCATTGGGGTGGGCAGCACAGTGTTCATGGGATTCCAAGCCTTCCCTCTCCCAGACTGAAGCCAGGGTCTGAGAGCACTGGATGGGCAGGGGAGGCCTGATAACCACTCCCATAAAAGGCTTTGCAGGAGGGGTCTCGGGGCTTCCCCCTGGCCCAAAGACTCCCCTCCACGCACATCCTGCGGGCCAGGCCTGAACCTGACCTTGTAGGGCATCTCCCCGGTGTGGGACACCATGTGCAACCGCAGCTCCATCCTCCGACGGAAGGTCTCCTGACACACAGAGCACGTGAAGACCTGGCAGTGTGAGGAGCAAGCAGGGCTGGCATCAGGGGAGGGCTTCTGCCTGCAGCGGCAGCCTCTGCCCAAGCTTCCACTCGCTGCTGGGAGGAGTCTGCCTGGGGGAGCAGGGGACGCTTGGATGGGAGAGGGCAACACATAATCTGCCTGCCCTGATCACCAGCAAGCAATACAAACATGCTACACCAGGTCCTTCTCATGTCCAGACAGGCCTCTGAGAAGAAAAGGGTGGGGTCTTGAGGGTCCTGTCAACTACAGCCAGTGGTGGGAAATGGGAGGAGGCTAGCCAGGAGGCATTTCCAGAAGTCACCCCCTGTGTAGACACCCCTTCTCCTAAGCCCAAGGTGGAGTGGGCCCAAGACTGGGTAGCCCACCCAGACTGCCCACAGAGCCCCTCTTGGGCTTGTCCCTCTTAAAGCCAGGCTATCTGAGGATGGCATCTGAGGACCCTGTGGCTCTCCTGAGTCTATAGCCCCATCTGAGACAGAATTCCTGGGCCAACTTGCACACTTACAGGACCTAAGCCAAATTCCGAGTACCTGTTCCGAGCGGTTCATGCAGTTCCGGGCTTCATGCTCCAAGAGATTCTCCTTCCGGAAGTAGCACTTCCCACATTTGAGACACTCGAAGGGTTTCTCCCCGGTGTGCTTCCTGCCAGAAGCCACAGGGGGATAAGGGGCCAAGTTGGCCCCAGTCTCTCCCTCTGCCAGTGTCCCGTGGATTCTCCCTGGACCTGTGGGTGCTGCTTGAGGCCAACCAGGGCTCACCACAGAGCTATGAGACTCCAGAAAGTGGAGAGCGGGACAGGCCCCTTCAGTCTAGGCTGGGGACTCTCAGGAGAAGCCAGAACGCCACTCAGACACAGGTCACACCTCTTCTGGCTTCACCAAGCAGCCACCACCAACCTGACCACTACAGAGCTCAGGAGTGGCCCAGCATGCTCTCTGGATGCAGAAACAACCCCTGGGTCCTGATGGCCTGGAGAAACAGTTCAACAATTTGGCCTGGAACTTGGTGGGCTCCACCTTTAGACTGTGGCCAGAAACTGACCACTGCTCTTCACCTCCACTGACCACCTCCAGTGCAGCCATGCACCTCTAGGCCTGGCTCCCTGACAGTTCTGAACTTCATTAATCCAGGGACTCCTCTAAGTTGGATTGGATCACTTCTCTGCTCAAAACCCTCCAGTGCTTCCCATTTTGCTCTAAAAGGCCTTGCAGGGCACACATGCACACTGTCCTATGCCAGCTGGCCGGCTCTCACCTCAGCTTCACACCCTAGGTTTCTGTGCCTGAAGATGTCTGCACCAGCATGCTGGCTCACTCCTACCTTTGCTCTGGCTCTTCCCTCTGCCTAGGACACGCTTTCCCCAGTTATCCATGCAATTACCTTCCTGGCCTCCTCAAATCTTTGCTCCAATCTCACCTTCTCAGTGAGTCTACCCAGACCATCGATGGCTAGTTCAAACTGTTACCAAACCACCCTGAACTCTCCAGACCCCTGGCACTGCTCAATAGTCTTTTTCTGCAGCGCTTCTCACCTTCTATCAGCTTCCTTATTTGTCATCTGCATCACCCTGCCACAAGGTAAATGCCACAGGGGACCTTTTCATTCACTAATGTGTCCCAAGTGCCCAGAGCAGTCTAGTCTGCTCCTGGTAGGTGGCTTGTGAAATGAGTGAATGAAATGATTCCCCTATGAGCAGCACTGAGACAGCTCCCACCAACCTGCAAGAGGTCACACTCATCCATGCTGCCATGTCACCTGTCCTCATTCCTGAAAACTGTCACCTGAAACCTCAGGTAGGGCCGAGGACAGTACTGTACACCAGAGCCTCACGCTGGGGGAGCATCCACAGATGTCCAGGCAGAACGCAGACCCCTCCGAGCTTCCTCCTACTCTGTGATGTCCCCAGGACTCCCCTGGTGGCAGCTGCCTCATAGCAGAGTACGCAGGTACACACACAGGTCCCACCCCGGCTCCAATAGCAGTGAACTATAGTGGCTTCCTGAGTGTTACACTGAGAAACCATGTGTACCTAACTCTGGCTTGGTCAGTAAATAGCACTGTGGGGGATCAGTGGTCATGGAATGGTGCTCTGGAAGGCTTGTCATCTAACCTGCTACCTCTGGGGCCCCGCAATCTCTGGAAGCAGCACTTTCCCAAGAGCACTGCAATGACAGACAAGCTCTACATCTGCATTGGCCAATTCGGTAACCAGTAGTACATGGGGCTGCTGAGCATTTGAAATGTGGCTAGTGTGTGAGAAAAACAGAACTTTTTATTTAACTTTGATGAGTTTACTACTGTTAAGAGAGCCACATGTGGCTACTGGCTACCTAATCAGGCAATGGCTCTAGACACAAAGTCTTTCATATGACACTGACCCTGGGTATATACCTGCTTGCTCTCTGGTCTGTGTTCTGTCTGAAGTGTTCCCAAGCATGAGACTTTGGTGCAGACGAGCATTTCCCAGAAACGTGGGCAGCACCCACCTTAAAAGTCAGCACTGGGGACCAAAGCCCAACTGTCAGGTTTTAGAGATCCTGAAGGCTGGGTCTTAAGAGCCCCAACTCAGGGCCACACATTCCTCTCCTGCCCTGGCAGAAGCCACCTGGGGCTCAAGGTCCACAGTGGGTGGAACAAAGTGTTCACATACCCATCCCCAACCAGATGGCTGTGGTCGGAAGAAGGTAGCAGAAGGACTCGAACCAAGCTGATGAGCAGAGGTGAGCCGATACATGCTGTGAGTCTGAGAGGGTACCCCAGCCCCTACACAGCTTACAAGTAGGGCACACAGGCCCCTCCCTCAATGGCAGATGGGAATAGTAAACAACAACAACAAAAAAAAAAAACCCAGAAAATTTACCTGTTGTGCACTTTTAGGTAGTATTTGCTGAGGAACTTTTTGTGACAAGTGGGGCACTCAACGGGCCCTACTGTGCCTCTCCTGTTCTCGGCGGGCTCGGCCACTGGGAAGCTGGAGCCCAGGGCTGGCTCAGCTGCACAGACTTTTGTAATTACGTTGGACTTCGTCTTGGCAGGTACAGTCTCAGGCTCAGACACATAATGGGCTTCTCCATTATCCTCAACTTGGACCACCACTTCCCACTAGAGCAAGGAGGGAGCAGGAGAGGCTGAGGTCATGGCAGTAATCAGCAGATTCTAACCCAGCTTTAGCCCAGAGTCATCCCCTCCTCAGTGACCATTCCCTTGAGGGTCCCAATGAAGGTAGCGGCACTGTGTGGAAATTGGAAGTCTGGGAAAATACCTGGCGCCCACAGGCCACTCACTGCACCTCAGGAATATGGCTACCATGGAGAGTGCTAACCTGAGGCTGCCTCGTGAGTGGCCCACCTGGGTGTGGAGAAAGCCTTCTCTGTCAAAGCCCAAGATCCAGGTGTCTGTCAGAAGTGGCTGTCTTTCCCCCTCCCTCTGCTTCCTGGTATCAGCAACCCTGGCATACCTCATGACTCCCACCCTGCAGCTGGGCACCTTCAGCCTGGAGGGGCCGCGGGGGCACTTTGCAGTCCTCAGGCTCCTTGTCCTCTGGGGGACCAAGCTTCAGGGTGGGCTTGAATTTCCCATGGAAGGAGGAGGGGCTGTCACTCTGAGTCAAGAGGCCCAATGGGGGCTTCTGAGGGCTGTGAGTGTTGCTGGGCTCCTGACCCTGGGAGGCTTGACCCAAAGTCCTAGGAACTTCCTCTTCTTCCAGGCCCACTGGCTCCTTGAGGCAGCTTCTCCCATCCTGGGAGGTTGTTTGCCCCAGGCCCTTCTGGTCACTTGAGGCCTGTCCCACAGAGTGCGGGGGCTTGAAGTTCTGGCACAGCTCCACGGCTTCTGGCACTCGCAACTCCCTGGCTGCCAGGAGCACTTGATCTCGGTTCCCAGAAGTGAGGGCAAGGTGACCAGTGTAGAAAAAGTCCAGCAAGAGGCCAAAAATCTCAGTGAAACCTGCAGGAAGGACAACACTGCCCCCTGAGTCGTCCCCGTCGAGGCTCTGGAAGAAGTGGCTGCAGCAGGCCAGGACACTCCAGTGTGCTTTAAATACCAGGCCTCCCACATCCAGGGTGGCATCGCAGTACTGGCCCTTCTCTCGCTGCTTGTTGAGCTCCTGCAGGACCCTCACGCTGTGCTGCACGAAGGAGCCCTCCATGGTCTGGAGGCGGGGAAGGGAGAAGAGACACCTGGCCAGCCAAGCCGAGGAGAAAACCCCTGGGTGTGTGACAAGATTAAGGGGCGGTTTGCTTAACTCAAACTTTCAACCAAACGAGGGCTTGGGTCAAGGTTAGAGGGTGCACACTGAGGGCAAGAAGAAACTGAAAGAGCATCCTGGGTAACAGAGGGCAGGTGAGCAACTCACAGTGGGACTGACCAGAGAGGACAGTTGGTGGGGGTCTCAGACAGACAACTGGGGCAGGGAAGGCATAGCAAGGAATAGGAGTCAGGATAGTTAAGGGGTGCTGCTCGGTGGAACCAAAGTTTGGGAAGAGGAGGCAGAGGGAGGCGGCGGCGTAGCCAGGTGAGTGGAGCCCACGCCGCGCCCACAGGTCTCGGGTGCCGGAGCGGAAGGCGCCGCGGTCACACGCCTGTGAGCGGACAAGGCGGCCCGCTCCCTCCCGTCCTCGCCCTCCTCACCTGCACGGTCTTCCCCGTGCCGGCCCCACTGCCTTGACCACCGTCTTCCCCTCGATCCCCGGACCAACCGTCCGGACTATACGCGCCAGGACAACCGTGCGGAGACAGCCGCTGTCGCCGCCGCCGGACGTGACGTCAGAGAGCGCCGGGCCGGGCGGGGCGCCTTGGAGGCGTAGGAAGTCTAGGTTCCGCCTCTGGAGGAGGGGCCACTCCGTGACTAGCCAATGGAATACATACAGAGGCGTGGTCCTATAACCATCCGTTCGTCTCAGAGGCCCGCCTCCGGAGTTGCCAGGCAACATCAAGCTGTGCACGCGTTTTTTGCAGCTCTTTGGCATTGTAGGTTAATTCGCCAGACTGCAAAGTCATTTGAACTGCAAGGTTGGCGGTTCAAGCTCATCAGCTGCTGCTTGGAAACCCTATACAGGGTCGCTATGGGTAGGAATCGACTCTACAGCACTTAACAACAACAACAATTGGTAAAGTCCAGTGTTTCTGGCATTGGGTGATCCCGCTGGAACCCCGAGACTTGAAAAATAGTTGCAGTACCTACCTTGAAGAGGACTTAAAATATTTACTGATGAAGATCAAAGAGCACAGCCTTCAGTATGGATTACATCTCAATATCAAGAAAACAAAAATCCTCACCACTGGACCAAAAAACAACATTCTTATCAACGGAAAAAAAGATTGAAGTTGTCAAGGACTTCATTCTTCTTGGATCAACTATCAACACTCACGAAAGCAGCAGTCAACAAATCAAACAACGACATATTGCATTAGGCTAATCTGCTGCATAAGACCTTTTTAAAGTGTTGAAGAGCAAAGATGTCAGCTTGAGGTCTAAGGTGCACCTGACCCAAGGCATAGTATTTTCAATAACCTCATATGCATGTGAAAGCTGGACAGTGAATAAGGAAGACCTTAGAAGAATTGATGCTTTTGAGTTATGGTGTTGGAGGAGAATATTGAAAGTGCCATGGACTGCAAAAGAACCAACAAATCTGTGTTGGAAGAAGTGCAGCCAGAGTGCTCCTTGGAGGCCAAGATGGCCAAACTTCGTGTCTCATACTTTGGACATATTGTCAGGAGGGACCAGTCGCTGGAGAAGGACATCATGTTTGGTAAGGTGGAGGGTTAGAGAAAAAGAGGAAGACCCCCAACGAGATGGATTGGCCAGGTGACAGCATCGATGGACTCAAGTGTGGCAATGGTAGTGAGGTTGGCCCAGGATCGGGCAGTATTTCATTCTGCTGTGCATAAGGTCACTGTAAGTTTATGAGTTGTTACCAACTCAACTCGATGGCACCTAACAACAAATGCCTCCCCAGACAGGAAATGCAGCCAACACCCAAATACACAATTCACCTCTTTATTGTGTAAAAAGGCCGATAAAGCATCATTTCTATCACCAAGGCCACATTTTCCAACTATGGATCCTTCCTCTTTGCTCCCAACCTTTGCATTTCAGTACTCTATTAAAATAGTACTCTTAGGAGTCAAGTGTGTTTCTTTAAAAAAAATTAAAAATTACTGAGTTTTTGGTGATAGGCTACACAGTAAGATAGGTTCCCATTTGACAATTTCCACACAAATGCCTTATTGACATTTGTTACATTTATCACAATGTGTCAATATTCTCTTTTATTGTGTTCTGTTTGCTCCCTTTCTAGTACTCTAGTTTCCCTGTCTCCTTACTTTCTCATTTTGCTACTGAGCAATTGTTGACCTTCTGGTCTCATACTGATGTTTTTTTTAAGTAGAACATTGATAATACCCTTTATTTTCTGTGCTACTTTGCTAATAGGTGATATCAGGCTTTTCAGTTCAGGGCTTCAAATGGTTTGAAACCAATTCAATTGTGGTCAATGAAACAAAATCAGAAGGAACCGAATTTTTACAATTTGGATGAAATGGAATGATAACTGGAACAGGAAACGTTGCAGGTTGAAGCCCTGTAACAGGGCACTTCAAAGAAGCATAATGAATGAGCCCTTTCAGAAGCCTAATGTAGAAGATTGGATTATTGGCAGGACTGTGAAGAGGGCCAACATTCAAAGTGGTGAGGTTGGCTGCCATCTTTGAGTGGGGCTCCTTTGTTTCTAACTCAGCCTGCCAAGAGATTTGGTTACTATGCAACATGCATGCTGCCCTTATTTAGTGGAAAGGAGATAAAGTTTTTAGTAGGCTATTGACCCATAATCTTTTCCATTACAGACACTGTTCCAGTTTACCTGCATTTTACTAATTCAGGTCTTTTCTGGTTTCACTTCATCGACTATGACTGAACCAGGAAGGACCGGTTCAAAGTCCTAATTTAAAGAGTGTCTCAGGGCAGTAATCTCAGAGTACTCTGTTCTCTACTGTTCGAATCTGTTTTTGTTTTGTTTTTAAATAAGAATTTGAGTTCTACTTCATATTTTCTTCCATTCTATCCAGGACAACTAATGTGAGCCTAGTCAGAATGGTCAATGGTGGAAGCTGGTTACCATCTAATTCTTCTGGTCTCAGGGTATATGAGGTTGTGGCTCTTATAGACTTGCTTCTTCTCTGAGCTTTTAGTTACCTTACTGTTTTGCTCCTGGCAAGTAGAAACCTACAGTCATGTCTTGGATGACCGCTCACAAACTTTTAAGACCCTAGACACTACTCACTTCACTAAGATGCAGATCATGATTTTTGTACAGGACTATGAACCACAAGGTTGGCAGTTAGAACCCACCAGTCACTCCATGGGAGAAAGATGAGGCTTTCTGCTCCCACAAGGGTTTACAAGCCTTGAAAACCATATACAGGTTCACTATGAGTCAGAACTTAACAACAATAACAACTACAAATGTTACTAACTATGTTCCTTGATCTGAAGAGACTTTTTCTGGTTGGATCTTTGAGTTTCTGCATCTACAAGCAAAGTCTAGTCCACAGCAAGACTTCAAACTGCAGCAATTTACACCATTTCACAGTTTCTAATATCCTTCTTTTTAACTGGCAGCCTGGAGCCTTGGCTGGGGAGTTCCAATGGGCAGGACTCAAAGGCCTCTGGGGAACCCCAGGCCTTCTGAGCAGGGGCGGCTTACAGTGCTGCTCCAGCATCAGGTGGAGCCCCTACGCCTCGTGTAGTCCTGGATGGAAGCCTGGAAGTGCTCGGTGCTGTTGAGATCTGGACGCCAAAGAATCACATAGCACTTGGGGAGGAAGTAGCCACAGAAGCCCCCACAGAGGCTGCTCAGTATGGCCAGCATGTTGACAGTGGGCAGGTGCTTGCCCTGGTAAACGCTGGCTGTGGTAAAGAAAGTGATCCATGACACAAAGTTGAGGAGCAGGCTGAAGGTGACACACTTGGCCTCGTTGTAGTTTTCTGGCAGGTCATTACCCAGGTAGCTGAAGGCAAAGGCGCAGACGGAAAGGAAACCATTGTAGGTGAAAGACAACATGAAGCCTGGTGAGTTGGCCTGGGTGCACTCCAGCATCACCAAATGGGGGAAACGCTGGTATTCCCTAGTGGGCAATGGAGTCCATACTGCAAGCCACATTAGACAGACCAGCAGCTGGACCATTGAACTGAATACCACAAACAGTTCAGCACCATGGTTTTGAACCCAGGCATGGTAGAATGTGGGAACCTTGGCAGAAAACTTGAAGATAAAGACCAGCTGGAAGGAACGGACAGTCAGGCAAGACAAGAAGATGGTGAACCCGAGGGCAAAGGGGGCCAAGCGCAGCAAGCAGGTGGGCAGCGTGGGCTCCCCAAAGAAGCAATAAAGGCAGCAGCTGCCCACCGCCAGGGAGCCCAGCATGAGGAAGCACAGCCTACCCCCTGCAGACCTTACCACAGGGGTATCGAGGTACCAGGCAAATAGGCCAGCAGTGCCAGCCAGCAGCAGCAGCAACACTGTATTAGCTGCCAACAGCACCCAAGAGATGGGATCATGCCAGGTGAGAACCACCAAGGTGCGTGGGAAGCAGGTCGAACTTCCCTGTGGTGCCCATTCTTCTTTCCCACATGGCTGGCAGCGGTAAGGATCTAGAAGGGAAGGAGGAAGAGGCTCCTGAGAACCAAGTGAGCAGGACAGGGAGAGCCGTCCCTAAGGTGCTAAGCTCTGCCAGACCCACTGAGATGGGTTAACCCTGAATGGGACTCTGAAGCCAACAGCACAGGTAGGTTCTGTATGGGACCAGAAGGGATTTGCAAACCAAGAGGTCCCTAGGGAGGGGCTCAGTCCACATACCAGTGAGGATCTGATCAGATGGCAGCGGGCAGACCCTAAGGCAATGTGTTTCCGTCTCTATCCCAAGCACTTCCACTAACCAGATCCACCTTCCTGAGCTGCTGCTGTGTGCTTTCCCTGACTCTGAGGACAGAGAACCAAACATAAAACAAGCCCACTGCCATTGAGTCTATTCTGACTTACAGCGACCCCAATAAGACAGAGGAGACTTGCTCCTTAAGGTTTTGGAGACTGTAAATCTTGATGGGGGCAGACAGCCTCATCTTCTCCCATGGGACAGCTGGTAGGTTTGAGCTGCCACCTTGCAGTTTGCAACACAATGCTTAACCCACTGTGCCATGAGGGCTCCTTCTGAGGGCAGAGAGATCTGGATTTCCTACCTCAGCAGATACACTAAAAGCAGAGAATATGGCCTCAAGAGTTCAGCACTGGGCCAAGGAAAGCATGCCCTTGGCGACTTCAATGAACTCTCTGATCTCAACCTGGCATCACTGTATAGGGGACAGGGGGCATGATGGTTTTGTGGGCTGCAGACTTTCTAGTGTCTGCATTCAAGGTGCTTTTGTCTTTGGGAAGGGTAATAGAAGAGACTCTATTCAGACAAGAGGGTATAAAGGGAATAACAACTATATCCATTTGGATAAGAGGTTGAAGTTAGGGTGAGTCTGTACCCCTAGAAGGTGTGATGGAAGCTTTTAAATAAAGGATACACCTGGCTTGAGCCTTTTAGTTGGCTATGTCTTCCTGCTGGATCAGAATTCAGACTGGTGGTCGGTATCCTCCAACCTGATCCTAACCACAGTACACTGTCTGGGGCCCTGGATCTAGGGCCAGGGGTGCACATGTGGCCTGAGGCAGGGCCTCTTGTCTGCAGACATCTGGGAACTGGGTCCTCTGCCCACTCACTCACCACTCTCATTGAGAAAGGTCCCAGCCTCACAGGACACACATGAGAAGCAACAGTGGTGGATACCTAGGACCATGCGCCGAAACCCTTTAGAACAGTTTCCGGTGCACACAGATGTGGGTACCTGCAAGAAGACCAGGTGTCCTGGAGCTACATGGAAGGGCCCAGGATAGAATATAAGGACCAGAATCTCCCAGTGGTGTGAACCAACGCCCATCAGGCACCTGTCTTCCAGCCCCTGGAACCTCTCAGGTAGGGCTGGGTAGAGCATGGTAGCCTGGCATCTGGGGTCACCTCCTGCTTTATGACAAGTGAGAGCATTGTCCCCAGTCTGCTCATGAGCCAGTCACCCAGGGAAGGACTGCATCCCGACTACCTGGTTGTCTTCTCCATGCCACTGGATTTGGGTCTTATTGATGACCAGCTGAAATGGATACCATGTGGAAGAACCAATGGTCTTGAAGGTCCACTTGGAGCCACTCCAGTCCCAGGCAATTATGTCATAGCCACTGAGGGAGTCCCCATTGTCGCTAAAGATCAGGGTGTCCTTCCTGATCTTCTCCAGAAGCTGAAACACACAGAGATCATGAAGCCACCACTGCGGAGACAGGCTGCCTTCCTCTGTCTGCTCAGGGCCCTCCCTGTCTGGGGTCTTTGTGGTCATCAGCCCTAGGTGGTTTCAGCCTGGAAGATCTGATCCTTAGAGCCCCTTGTCCTCTTGGAAAGTCCCTCCACCCTCCTGAGAGGAGGTCTTCAATGAAGGTGTTCTTTACTGGGAACCCAGCATCTTGCCTTGATGCTTCTGAGGAGGGAAGGATGGGAGGAGGCAAGGCTCAAAAGAAAAGAAGGGACCAGTCCTAAAGTCAGGTCTTTGTGTCCCACCTCCCAATACCCTAAAGGGGGCCAGAGAGTAGCCGCATCATTTGCCTCAGGAGTAGTTGCTTCCTTTGATGTGGGTGACTGGGGCTGGGCTGTCTTACCTGCCAGGGGTAGATAGTGCCCATGGCACAGGCTCCCAAGGGGCAGCCCAGGAGCTGGTGGAGGCCACGGGCCACAGCATACACAGCCCGGTAGGCGTTGTAGGCAGAACGCATGGAGAAGGCACGCAGCGTGGGCATCCTGTCCCTTGTGAAAGTCCAACACTCTCTACAGAGCTGGTTGCTGCTGCACTGGGAACCTTGGGGGCATGGTCCTAGTGTGCCCTTCTCTGCCTGGACGTAAGCCTCTTCAAAGTCCAGCAGACCCCAAACCAGCCTCTTCTGGATGGCCACACCCAACACTGTGCCAATGCCCTGGATCCCTGGCACCTCAGCAATGTGGCTGGAGATGGCCCAGTCCTCTGAGGCCACCCACACCCTGTCAGTTAGTTCGGCCAGCACCACAGACTGGAAGAACACCCTGGCCAGCTGCCTGTTGGCAAAAACGACCACAACAGTGGTCTTCGCCTGGACAAGGTCATGCATCATGTCCCGCATTCTCTCATCGCCCACCTGCGCTGAGAAAGGCACAGTGTCCTTAAAGGCAATGCAGATGCCCTGCTGGGTGGCCCGCTCCTCCAGCGCCTGCACCCCTAACTGCCCGTAATCTCCATCGCTGCCCACCAATGAGATCCAGACCCAGCCAAACCTCTGCAGCAGCAGCACCATAGTCTCCACCTGCTTCTCGTCACTGGGGATGGTGCGCAGGAAAGACGGGTACTGCCGCTTGACACTGAGCATCGCGCTGCTGGCCTCATAGCTGATCTGCAGAGAATTCAGTACAGCAAGGTCATGGGGTCAATCTCAGTGAGGGCTCTGGTGGTGGTACACAAGGAGGACTGAGGTGTGGTCCCAGCCCTGATCCTCAAGAGGAATCATGAGAGTGACCAATTATATACAAAGAACAGGGTAGGCCCCACAGGGATGGAATCTGCCTGGTGGACGAAGGAGAGGGTCATGCATCCTAAACAGGATGCGTGTTGGAGACCTACAAGGAGATCCATGTGGCTGGAAGAGTGTTGGTCAGATGCTAAAATGAAAGAGGGCACAACTGGTCGAGTCATCAAGTTGGCATTGAATGACCAGCCAATGATCCAGTTAGTAGATGAGTACATTAACCGTTTATGCAACCCACTTCAGGGAAGCCTTAACTCTGGGTCTAAGGGGCTTGGACTTTATCTTGTAGGCCACAGGGCACCCTTAGGGTTCAGAAAGAAAATGCTTTCTCAGACATGAGTTTTAGCAGGGTATCTCTGATTTCAGTGAGCAGTGCGTTGGAAAAGGCTCAGGACTTGAATCAAGGAGAACCCAGAGGGCGTTATTTGTAAGTGAGAGTTGTGGGATGACATCAAGAACACCATACAGGAGGAAAGCAAAAGATCATTAAGAAGACAAGAAAGAAGGAAATGACCAAATGGATGTCAAAAGAGACTCTGAAAGACGCTCTCCAGTGTAGAGATGCTAAAGCAAATACAAGAAATGAGAAGGCAAAAGAGCCGAACAGAATATTTCAAAGGTCAGCTCATGAAGACAAAGTCAAATATTACAACAAAATGTGCAAAGACCTGGAGTTAGAAAACCAAAAAGGAAGAAGACGCTCAGCATTTTCCAAGCTAAAGGAACTGAAGAAAAAATTGTGGCACTGTGGGTTGATGTACTGGACTGCAAGGTTGGTTTAAACTGCAAGGTTGGTGGTTGAAGCTCACCAACTGCTCCTAGGAAACCTGATACAAGGTTTCTATGAGTCAAAATCAACTTGACAGCATTTAACAACAACAACGGGCAAAATATTGAATGATGCAGAAAGCTGCAAAAGAAGATGGAAGGAATATACAAAGTCATGGTACCAAAAACAAATGGTGGATATTCAACCGTTTCAAGAGATAGCATATGATCAGAAGCCAATGACACTGAAGGAAGAAGTCCAAGGTGCATTGAAGGCATTGGCAAAGAACAAGGCTACAGGAATCGATGGAATACAAATTGAAATCTTTCAACAAACTGATGCAGCACTAGAGGCACTCACTCATTTATGCCAAGAAATTTAGAAGACAACTACCTGGCCAACTGACTGGAAGAGATCCATATTTGTGCCCACTGCAAAGAGAGGTGACCCAATGGAATCAGAAATCATCATTAATATCATATGCAAGTAAAATTTTGCTAAAGATAATAAAAAATGACTACGAATTGGGCCAACAGTTTGAAACTACCAGCTGCTCCGTGGGAGAAAGACGAGGCTTTTTGCTTCCATAAAGATTTACAGCCTCAGAAACCCTATACAGGGTTGCTATGATTTGGAACCGACTCCACAGCACACAACAACAACAACAACACAACCATACGTTGACAGAGAACTTCCAGAGGTTCAAGACAGATTCAGAAGTGGACAGGGAATGAGGGATATCATTGCTGACATCAGATGGATCTTGGTTGAAAGCAGAGAATACCAGAAAGATATTTACCTGTGCTCTATTGAATATGCAGAGGATTTCGATTGTGTGGATCATGACAATCTATTGACAAACATTGTGGAGAATGAGTATTCTGGAACATTTAATTGTGCCCATGAGGAACCTATACATGGACCAAGAGGCAGTTGTTCAAACAGAACAAGGGAACACAGAATGGTTTAAAATTAGGAAACATGTGTGCCAGGGCTCTATTCTTTCACCATACTTATTCAATCTGTATGCTCAGCAAATAATACAAGAAGCTGGGTTATATGAAGAAAAATGTTACATCAGGATTGAAGGAAGATTCATTAGCAACCTGGCAATATGCAGATGATACAACCTTGCTTGCTGAAAGACGACTTAAAATACTTACTGATGAAGATCAAAGTCCACAGCCTTCGGTATGGGTTGCACTTCAATGTAAAGAAAACAAAAATCCTCACCACTGGACCAATAAACAACTTTCATATGAATGGAGAAAAGATTGAAGTTGTCAAAGACTTCATTTTTCTTGGATCAACCATCAACTCTCATGGAAGCAGCAGTCAAGAGATCAAATGACTTATTACATTAGGCAAATCTGCTGCACAAGACCTCTTTAAAGTGTTGAACAAAGATGTCAGTGTGAGAACTGAGGTGTGCCTGATCCAAGTTATGGTATTTTCAATAACTTCATATGCATGTGAAAGTTGAACAGTGAATAAGGAAGACCATAGAAGAATTGATGCATTTGAGTTACGGTGTTGGAGGAGACTCCTAAAAGTACCATGGGCTGCCAAAAGAACAGTCAGATCTGTAATGGAAGAAGTATAGCCAGAATGTTCCTTGGAAGCCAGGATGGCCAGACTTCGTCTCTCATACTTTGGAGGTATTTTAGGAGGGACCAGTGTCTGGAGAAGGATATGATGTTTGGTAAAGTGAGGGTCAGAGAAAAAGAGGAAGACCCCCAATGAGATGGATTGGCACAGTAGCAGCAGCAATGCATTCAGGTGTAGCAACAGTTGTGAGTTTGGTCTAGGACCGGGCAGTGTTTCGTTCTGTTGTGCATAGGGTCGTTAGGAGTTGGTAATGACTTGATGGCACTTGACAACACTAACAGGTGATAGATGGTAGTGGTCTGGGGTAAGGCTTTGGCAGTGACAATAGAGAAGAGTGGGTAAACTTAGCAGAATTTAGAAGGTAAGTGTGGCCTTGGTCACTGACTAAGCTGGGGAACAGGAGAAGGAAGACTCTAGATAGGACTTCTGGGTGTCTGACTTGGGTAGAGATGGTCATATGGCCAACTGGACTGGATGAAGGAAGCAGGACTGTGATAGCTAAGGTTTTGTGTTAACTTGACTGGGTCAGAACTCTCATTGTAAGGTCAGAACTCCATGGCCACTGCCACAGCCTTATCTCACAGTTAAGAAGAGAGCAATATGATGTAATTATCCCCTATGATGTGATCTGCTGTAATTAGGCTTGATCTGATGTAATTATCCTATATGTTGTAAATCCTCACTTCTATGATGTCATTGAGACCAGATGCAATCTACAGAATCATTTGTATTTTGAGATATAAAAGGGATTAAATAAGCAAGCAGAGCTCAGGAGGACTTGCTATCACCAAGAGAGAAGTGCCAGGAGTGGAGTGCGTTCTTTGGACTTGAGGTCTTTGGGCTATGAAGTTCCTCTATCCAGAGGAAGAGTGATGGCAGATGCATGGAGAGCTCCAAGGAACGTTGGGTCTACAGATGCTGAAAGGAGACAAGGACAATTTCCAGAACTGACTAAAAGAGTAAACCTTCTCCTAGAGCTGCAATGATTTAGACATCTAGTCTCCTAAACTGTGAGGGAATAAATTTCTGTTTGTTAAAAGCATCCACTTGTGATAGTTCTGTTATAGCTGTTGTTGTTAAGTGCTGTTGAGTCAATTCCAGCCCAAGAGACCCTGTATAGGCTTTCCGAGGAGAGGCTGGTGAGCTCAAACCAACTTCGCAGTCCAGCACATTAACCCACAGTGCCATATCAGGACTCTGTTATAATTGTTGTTGTTGTTGTCAGGTGCCATCAAGTCGGAACCAACTCATAGCGACCCCATGCACAGCAGAAGGAAACAATGTCCGATCCCGGGCCAACCTCA